AAATGGAAAGGTTTTGTCTCATTCAAAGGCTCTGAACTGTTACCTTTGATGAGTGCTTTACAGTTAACAGCATGAACATACCATGAACTACATACAATTGCAGGTATATAATGTTCACTTTGCGTATTTGTACGTGCAGTAAACCTCACAGTGAACCGCATACTATACAAATGCAACAGCAGTGTTAAGCATTTTCACAATTTTTATTTACCATGTAAAATATAACATCTTACTATGTCAGGCCAGTTATACAGATCCATATGACACAACATATGGATTGAAATGTGCATATGAATACAATGTATTTGTTGTCTGAATGTGAATAATGCAAAGGCTCTATGTGCAGCAGGTTTTACAGGCTTTTCATGTTTTCTATTCTTATGAAGCTTCAAATCTATCATAAGCATTGTTGTACAGGTAAAAGCATCACACGTTTTGTAGTCTCACAACAATGTATGTGCACAAATTAAACAACTGTTAAACTGTTAGTGTTGTCTTCTTACTCTCCTTCTTTATAGGACTTGACAGACCAACAGCAGCTTAAGTTTTCATATAGGTTTATTATACCCAAAGGTCAGATGAAAAGGCTTTAAAAAACCCAAACAACAACTTTATTACAGGTAGGGATGAAATGAGTCCAGCTCCATCTCTTACCGCCTACACAGCAATTTTGCAAGATGTACTAATGCAAATAGCCCTAGATTCACCATCTGGGTGGAATCAAACTGGATTCTCTGGAGTCTTGCTGCTAATAATGATTTAAAAAAAGTACTTTCCACATACTAGATGCATCACATTTTCAGAGTAACTTCTCAGCAGGCTGAAAGGTGTCTTCCTGCCCTCTGTGGTGGATATCTTTCTATTGTTCACCTCCGTTGCTGGGTGTGGCTAAAGGTGAAACAACTCTGGCCACAGCAGTGATGTCACCCCTGACACACCCTGGAGTACACTTCTACACCACTGAACCACCTGATGTCAGCAAAAACAAGATTTTCCAGGTCAGTTTCTCTGGAGACACTTTACCTCACCAAAGCATTGTCAAAATGTAGCTCTTGAACAATTATATTTCTGTAGTTTTTAAAAAGTCCTGTTGTCTGTCCAGTTGTTTGTGGTAGTTTTGGCCCTGCCATTGTATTTCTCTTTATTTCTCCCTTTTCTTTAGCACACCATGTTATTTATCTCTCTTTCACATATATGTTTATATCAGAGTTCATGCCTTTAGCCACCAATAAGTACAGTTAATTTGTCTGCAAACTCAATGTAATTGGCATTTCTCGTAGTAGATCCAGCTCTTAATTACATTGCTCCCTCCACAAAATCCAATTTGTACCAAATGTCATACAGTGCTGCTTCAACGGTTATACTGCACACACACACATTAACTCCAGATTACCCCTAGCAGCTATATTTTTCACACTTCTTTCAGTCGTGGTTTTTCATTATGCTCAGTGACCTCCACCTACTTACTATAAAGTCTGACATACCTTCAGTTTGCTTGGAGCAGTGCTCTCCTGAGCACACACACACAGTACTGAAAACAGTTCTTCCAGAACCACACATATCAAAGTTTATCACACCGTAAACATGCAGCTCAATTACATCTGTTGAAATGGCCTCCTGTTCTTTCAAGCAGCAGGCACGTATGTGAGCTGATAACAGAGAGAGCGCCAGCAAAAACTCCTGAAACATCAGAGGAGCCCCTACAGCAACAATGATATACAGTAGGTGCTGGCATTGTTGCAGCTCACCTACCCTGTCAATCATCTCTGTAATTATAATACATTATTAACTTCTTGGTGTTCTCTGGAGAAGGCTCATTTGAAGGTCCAGTGTGTAACATTGAGGAGGATCTACTGGAAGAAATGCAATACATTATTCATTGTTCAATGTTTTCATTAGTTACTTGAAAATGAGAATCATGTTTTTGTTACCTCAGAATGAGCCTTTTATATCTACAGATGCCACAGGTCGCCTTACACGGAGGCCGCCATATTAAACTGCCATGTTTCTACAGTAGCCCAGAACAGACCAACCAAACACTGGCTCTAGATAGTGACGTACACGTTTATCGCAGCCACACGTTTGGAAGGGGAGGGTAAAGCAATTTTCTATCTGCAACTCCACTGCTAGATGCCACTAAATCCTTAGGGTGGCCACTTCCTTCACATCAGAAAGGAGGACACTTTGCATACACAGGGACACGCAAGCAGATATTTGTTTGGTATGATCCGGTTTTAAAATTGTATGTTTTTCCACCAGATTACATAAAGGTGCATACACATACCACAAAGCTAATAATAAATATACAAGATACAGCTCATGACAACGTGGCCTTCCAATTCAGATTACATAGGTCTAATAAACATCATACAGAAACTGTTCTTAGTGTTTTTATTTGGATAGATAAAGGGTAAAAAAATACAGCACCTTCTGTTTTATATGTATAGACTTTGTCTATCTACATATGAGTATGAGCAATTTCAGAATTTCAGTCCAACAACCAAGGTTAGCTCAGTTAGCAACTCCGGTGATCAAGTGGCAAATCAACACATGGCTCATTTGAATATTAAAATGAGCCATGTGTTGATAGGTCAGGACATGAAAATGTAACCAATGAAATTACTTATTTTGACACACATTTTGAGGTAATGTGTCAAAAGGCAGACATTTTTAGTTATTTTCTCATAAGGAGGACAAACGAGTGTCTTAAGGCTGCGCCTGCAGCCGGACAGGACATTTAAAAGCCGGACTGTCCGGCCTAAAGCCGGACAAATGGCCACCCTATAAATCCTACACACTGGTCCTTTAACTTTTCAGAAAAAATAATGTTATAACTAGACTAAGACTCTACAGCCATGCTAGCAGCTCTGTGAGGCATTTACTCAGTCATTTACTTTATCCAATTGGATAAAGTGGGAACGGGATACCAGAAAATGTATTCTCTGTTTACTGCATATTAGTGATGGCTCTCTGAATGTAGAGCTATTTAACACTTATTTTAACAACTAACAAATATCACCTTTTAAAGTAGTTATTTAAGCTCTCTCGAGGGGGTGCAATTTCTACTGTTCAGCACCTATCTTTCTACTGAATGTTATACTTATTTCTTCCTTCATTGTCATTCAGAGTGTCTGTCTCTAGATGTATACAGCAGCAGTATGCAGTCTTGCAGAGAATATAGCTGTTCGTGTTTGTCTGTCAGTGACTGTGGTGTCTTATTTAACCAACATGGATTAGTTAAAGTAGACCACTCTCTGGGATTAGATGTAGCAATTAATCACGCAACTTTAGCTTACGTTCCGTTCAGGTAAACACACAGACACACACACACACACACACACACACACACACACACACACACACACACACACACCAGAAAGAGACACAGATACAGTAAGACAGGCCAAAGTTCTCATGAAGGAGAAGACTCCTTTTTACTTGTCATAGTGTTTTTACCAGTGAAGTGACATTAAACCAACTCTAAATGTCCCCAGAGGCAAGTTAAAGGAAGGGAATATTTCAAGTTATAATGTAGACATTTTCGTTTTAAATTACAGCTTAATGTTGATAGAAAAAAAACACTGACTGGATCATTCAGTATCCATCATCATAATAGTTAATTATAATCCTTGGTAAATTACCCCCAGTGTCTTTAAATATTTTCTGTTTCAGTACATGAAAAATAAATAAATACATAAATTAAAGAAGATTCAGTGTTTCATCAGATGGTGGCAGAATGGACTCTGGTGACTTTCAAATGATCAGCATATGACCCGAACACTCTGCATGCAAGGTGTGCAAAAACCCGTCATTAATGTCATTAGTAACAGTTTTCACACTATGAAGTCAAACTGTGACATTTACTCCAGTACTGTGCTTCAGTACAATTTTGGATACCTTTAACTTTCTTGCTGCTTTCTACCTTTCAGATAGAATATTGTACATTTTACTCTACATGTATCTGACAGTTCTGATTACTTCACAGATTCAAGTTTTATAACACATTGTTCTAGATCAAACGGGATATAATAATGTATAAAAAAAATGAGTATGAAAGAGTAAAAACAAGACTACAATGCTAGTTACACATTCATGCATCATTAATTATAATAGGCTATATAATAGTATATCTAGTAACAGTGTAACACTCACATGGACCAATTTTCTGCATTTACTTTTACTATTGATGCTACTAACATGTTCTTTGGCTTAATTTAGAACCTTTACTAGTGTATTTTTAGTGTTATTTCAACTTATACTTAAGAAAGGGATCTGCATGCTTTCCCCACAACTGCCAAATAATTCTACCACCACTGTACCAGCTCCACCATTAAAATGCTGTTCATAGGCTACTGTACATGAATCAATAACTTATCTCTGAAAGGGACCATTCTTTATTTATACTCGTCCTTGTGTGGACTCCAGTCTGATCAGGATAGTTAATACTACCACTGATTGTGTAAATATGCAGTGGGAAACATGGTGCTCAGGCTGTTGTTTCTAGGAATCAGTTTTCATTTGCAGCAGTACACAGATACCATGGTTGACGGTTATCATATCATGTACATTATACTGCATTGAATTCTACTGTATTTGTGTTTTCCTCCCAAATCTACCATGTTAATGTTATTTAAAATATATATATGGCATATAATTTTGTGAAATTATGATAGAGCGTTTGTTTAACTAAAAGGTCATTGTAACTGATAATAATAATTGTTTAATACTGTATACCTTCATACAGTAATTTCCTGAGATGGTCATTGTACTGTGAAAATCTCCTACTATTGCAACCCTACATGTAATACAGAGATAACCGAACGTTGGTGTAAATAATTCACTAATAATAAATCAATTATAGTGATTAATACAAAGATAATGATATTTCTGGGCTTTAGGCTGCTCTAGTGGAGTTTTATACTGTTACACATCTTCTCTTTTTATAAAACTATACTGTCTACTCACACATAACAAGTAGCCTTAATACGGAATATGACAGTGTGAAACCCATTCAGCCAGAGGGGTTTTGTTGGGACATGTGAGTTGTATTTACGCCCCGATCTGAGCCAATGGCCGGGCAGCGTGAGTCACGGGGGCTGGAGCTCCGACTATTTCTTCTTGCCCTCTCTCTCTCTGTCTGCTCTCAACACATCCTTCCTCCTTGTCCGTCTGTCTGATCCCAACCACTCTACCGACCACTCTACCGACCACCCACCGACCACTCTACCGACCACTCTACCGACCACCCACCGACCATGGCTGGATCCTCAGAGAGCAGCAGCGCAGCGGAGCGTATCGGATACATCACCCGGGTGCAGAGCTTCAGCGCCTGCCACCGACTCCACAGGTAGGCCGGTCCATCGTCCGCTACTGTCCCACAGCCCGCCTCTACATCCTACTGATAGCTACTGGTTAATGCCGATAGAAGCTGACAGAGGTGTTGTGGGCATGTGTTTATTATCATAAGGCCTATCGGAGCGGAGGGCGGTGGTCCCCGGCATAGAGGAGACACTGTATCCGCCCTACGGTGCACATAGAGCGGTGTAACTGTGAGCGATAACCGTCTGTTTTCATGGATAAAATCTGTGGCATTAGCATCGGTCTCCTGGGAATTGTAGTTCATTTGAGTTCACAGATATGATTGGTTGTAGAAGCGTTGGTGCTGCCTTCAGGTGCTGTCGTAAAAAATGTTTTTTTCTGTATTCAACCGAGCGTACAGACAAAGGTAAACGTGGGACAAATAAAAAGTTACATAAGAAAATGTAAACCAGTGAATTAGGCTATATTGCTAATTACAGCCAAATAGCAGCAATTAATGAACACCTTTAATTATATTAACTATTTCTGTGCATATAATCTGTCTAGTTATTGTTAATAAAGTTTATTATTGTGTGTACAGAGGAAATGACAAACAAAAGTCACACAGGAAAATAAGCCAATAATAATGCTATATAAATATGTTTCAAATTCCTCTGCTTATTATTTATTATATCTATATTATATATGTTGCAAATTGTCCTTTCATCATTGTATTGAAGTGGTTCAAATTCACTGCCTGACCTTTATTTTGGGAAATTTTTGGTTTAGAGGTTTTTTAATTTCTAATCGATTAATTATACAAAGTAATAATGACAGTGAAAATCAAAAGTAAGATGAGAAAAAATAAATAAGACCATATTGCTAATATGCTCATAATATTAACCTTAAATCTTTACTTTATGATTCTTCTGTAGCACTAATTCACCCAATACTGTCTGGTTTGTAAACTAAAACAACAGCCATTAATAAACAGTTATTTTAATTATTGATGAATCCGACATTATTTTGAATGTTTAATGTTTGATCTAAAGAATTAAGATATAAGGAGATTCTGACAAATACCCATCAGAAGTTCCCAGAGTCCAAGGTAACATCTTTAAATGTCTCGTTTTGTCTCAAACCCAAAGATACTCAGCTCACAGTGATATTAAACAAACAAGTAGCATATAGCAAATAGCCGCTCTGCTAACAAACTTTATATATTTATCAAATAATCATTTAATACGTAACATGATTATTACAATTTACAGCTTCTGATCTTAGAAGTTTGAGTTTCTGAGGTGTACCTGAAGGCAGCACGTGTCAATAATCCCTCAGCACATTTTTCCTTGTTTGATTTGTGTGGATCACAAACATGACTGAAAAGAAAAAGCCCATCTGTGCAGCAGCTTTCTGATTAATGTTACTTCCTTGCAGCATTCACTTGAGTGATGAGGAGAACAAAAGTGTTTATGGGAAATGCAACAACCCCAATGGTCATGGACACAACTACAAAGGTTTGTCAGCTCTATCATCATATCTATACATATATACATATATATTCTTTTTAAATGACCTCCTCCTAGTTTGACTGTTCTGTACTGAAATATTTTTTCTTGTTACTACTCAGCCGCAGATAAGTACATTAGTCATTTTGTGCTGCATTCACGTGTCACCTAATAAGAAACAGTGTTTACACCGCTTCTGTTCTGTGTATTTATTATATCTGTGTTGCCCTAAGCAACACGTTTACAGAAACATTTTCACAAAGATTCAAAGCATTGAATGCCTCTAGTACTGGCAGGTCTATGCTGCTCTCTGCTGGACAACACACACTTTCACTTTGTTTCCTATCATGTGATTGGTGATTAGTGATGTGGGAAGGAGTACGGTCTAGACCTGCAGAAAACTGAACTGAAAGTTTAATTGATTTAGAATTTAATGTCACCTTCTTTCAGGTATTAAAGGATAAATAAATAATCATTTAACATATGATTTTCATTGAAGTAATAAACTATAACGGTGTATTGTATTTCACTTTATTTCTTTATCATTATCATTACACATAATACACACTGCACAGCTGCTGTTTCAGTGTCTCCCATTCATTCAATGCTCTCATCTCTGTCCACAGTGGAGGTGACAGTGCGTGGAAAGGTAAGTGTCTTTCTTCATCACTTCTTCATTGCCAGATAGCTTTTTTGTTCTCTGAATTTGAGTTTTAGTGACCTAAAGTGCAGTTTACATTTTATGATTTCAGTTTTGGATTAGAGTTTGATGCATATATATATTTTAGGCTCAGTGTCTGATATGAAAAAATAATTGTTGAATAAATGAAAATTTCTGTATAATTCAGTGTTTCCCCACTAACATTTTATTTCTGGCAGTGTGAAGTTTATGCAATTCATTTATCAAGGTTTTGCATCAAAATGAATTTAATTTGACAAAAATGTAACAAAACAGGATTACTAACTAACATGAAACAGAATCAGAATGAATTTTTATTCACTCCCAGTGCTTAGGAAGAGCTTGACCAATATGTGAGGCGCCTGAATTGAATTGCCTCAGAGTAACTTTATAAGTAATAATAATAATAAATGCAGATATGGCACACTGCACATTGAAAATAAATGTAGTTTAATTTAATTTGGCCAAAGAATATTCAACAAAGTAGCAGTAGGCCTAATACAAGTGACCATAAGGCAATGACAAACATGTGTCATGTGCAAAGGTGATTCAGTAGCAGAGAGCACCCATAACAACACAACACAACAAGAGACATTTATCAGATTGGATAGAATGGCTGCTTATTAACATAATTCTTTCTTTCATTAATAAAAAATACTAAAATACCTGTCAGGGGCTACAGCGCCCCCTAGCCTCTGTGTAGTGCTGTGCAAGGGTCCCACTCAATCGAATGAAACCTGCTGGACGGATGGTGAAACTAAAACAATCAGTCCTGTTTACTTTGACTCAATACTCGTACATAAGTGTTGTGTTTTACCTTCATCCTGTGTGCGTCCACAGATCGATCGGTGCACCGGGATGGTCATGAACCTGACCGACTTGAAGAAGGCCATTGAGGTGAGTTCATCGTTACACTTCTTCTCTTCAGTGACATTTCTTTCTGTGAGACTTTAACGCTGCAGACGGAGCCCCCTGGGGTCAGTGGTGGATGTAACTTAAGTAGATTTACTCAAGTACAGTTTTGAGGTACTTTACTTGAGTGTTCCATTTTATGCTACTTTATAGTTCGGCTCCACTATGTTTATTTGGTAACTTCAGTTACTCGTTACTTTACACATTCAGGTTATTAATACAAAATATAATCAAAAAGTAAATGATGATGTATTATTATATATTACTGTAAGGTACCTTTACCAGCTGCAACATTAAAGTGATGCTTACCCATAATGCATCATTGTTTGATGCAATACACTTAATATAAACTTAATGAGTACTTCAAGTGTATTTTGATGCCAATGCTTTTGTACTTTTACCTAATAATCATTTTGAATGACGAGTTATACTTGTAACAGAGTATTTCTACACTGTGGTAGTGCTTCCGTCACTGCCTGGGGTTCATATGTTAGTAAAAACATATGTTAGTAAAAATCCATGCAAACAAATAACTTAACTGAGTAATTTTCTCTTTATAGATTATTAGTCTTTTCATACATTAATTGTATTAAATTGTGAGGAGAATAATTCTTTTTTGTACCATATGACCTCTTATAGGCCCCATAAAAGATAAAATACTGGTGCTATTCACATCTTTCTGCCCACAGGAAGTGATGACATTTACAATATGAAGTAGAAAACAGCAGTGAGTTAATGTTGGGTCTGGAGATATATAGACTAATTATTCTGCAACTGCTCGAGATCACTGCATGGATGCATCTCCTGTGCATGGTGTGTCACAAGAAGTTGTTCTGGTCTCTGAGGATTAACTCACTGTTCATGCTGTCCTGTTCCAAGCTACACATTGCAATCAGCCATTTAATAGCCTCTTATACTAATTGCAGAGTTTTTTTGGCATGTGCGTGAACACACTGGCACACTGCAAGCTGTAGCCTCTTTACATACATTCCCCATTAAGTAAAGGGCTGCAGGCGTGTATGTTGCCATGTGTCCATGTGAGGGGGCTATTCCTGCTTCTGTCATTTTATCCTGCTGACCTCTTAAACCACAAATGAGTGAAGGGGGAAACAACATGTAGCACTACATAGGACTATTACAGTGCTTTTAACTTCTCTATCAGCCTTGTTGCTATATGAAGCATTGCTGTTACACTGGGACAGTTTGTTACATGTGAAAAAAAGCAGCTTTTCTAGAATGGTTTTTACTATATAGCCAGTGTTGGTTTCTGTAGGTTCGTTCACACATTGCACCTGTAAAATTAAAGCTGCACTCGCCTCCTTAAAGCTGCATTCATTTACTTATTTTAGGGCTGAGCATCACACACATTTGACATAAAGTATTATCACCTCATAAAGTTAATATGTGCCATATCAACTTTGTATTCTTCTTACACATATAGCAGATACAGAGAAACCTTAACATTCAAGTGTGATATTCATTCTTCTACTCCGGAGAAAAATCTTTGGCTCTTTCCCAGCTAGTTGCTAACTTTGTCCATCTGTGGTTCGATGCTGGGCAGGTATTCTGTTCGTCAGAGCGTTTTTTTTTTTTGCAGGAAACAGCTGTCAGCTGCAGTTGGAACAAGGTTGATGAGATATGCGAGAATGAAAAAAAGAGGAAACTACTGAAAGAAGCAAAAATTAGTATGGGGAACTGCAGAGTTATCATGAACCAGCAGCCATCACTGACACGAAATAGTTAGTATCATTGGTAACACCTTTCTTTACCCTACTATTTCATGTCAAAATGGCTGCTGGGAAAAAAGTCAGTTCAACGACATGTGCAGCTGTAAAGTCAGATAGATGAAAGCATAGTTGTAATCCTGAACGTTGCTTCTAATGTGTTGGAAACTAAAACATGTCATTTTAAATGGGCAGAATAAAAACCTCCCTCCCTGTGGACCAGTGCAAGCAGGATTATATCCTACCTCCTCCAGGTGATCAGTGTGAACAATGCCTGTTTGGACACTGTGCAGGCCGCTGTCATACAACACATTTCACCTAGCTATTTTTAGTTTTTAAATGTGTGCGAGTGCTGCATTTGTACAACTTTTTTGCAACATGTCAGGTTCCTTATACACTTGCTGGACTTGACTCAATAAATGACTGTCTGACTCCCACCTGCAGGAAGTTATCATGACTCCACTGGACCATAGAAACCTGGACAAGGACGTGCCATACTTTTCCAGTGTTGCCAGGTGAGTGTCCTTCTGAGCCGCCTCCACTACAGTGTCTACAGATTGTGTGCACATTTGTTTACACCGATCACTCCTTTGTTTCCTCAGCACAACTGAGAACCTGGCTGTTTACATCTGGGACCACATGGTGAAGGCGCTCCCTCCCAACCTGCTCTACGAGATTAAGATTTACGAGACGGATAAGAACGTTGTTATATATCGAGGAGAGTAGATGTCCAAGTGATGATATAATGTGGTGTTTGATCTGGTCACCCTGGACATGTATAAGTGCCATTAATTTGCTGTTTATCTGACTTCACTGTTTGCCTACTGATGACTGCAGATCTGGTTAGTTAGACTGACACAGGTTTATGAAGGCTGATGTTGTTACACTTGCACTTTATAGACCAAAGATTTTGTAGCAAATCCAAATGTTCAGTATTCTTGTAGAGTTTGTATTCTTCGTATATATGTGGGACCAAATATTACATGTACATATATATGATGTTTAGTAGATCAATTCCATATATTCCAGGATGTTTTATCCTTAATATAAGACAGTTACACTCTTTCAACTGTAACTGTAGATTCAAAATTCAGATATTGTCATATCAACGTGGTTTATTGAAATTTATCTTAATAAACTTGAACAAAAACAGGAAAAGAGAAAATGTGTAAAACCACTCACTCATAAGAGGAGAAATAATTATTTTAATTTAAATCCACCTTTTGATAAAATGATCATCTCCACTCTGACTGAGGTCTATGAATAGCTGTTTACACTCAGTGCACACTGTGAACTGGCCAATAGTGACTAGTGGTACCAGCCTGTATCTCTCAACCTGCTGCATTAAACCTGATTGTGTAGAGTTTATCCAGTGCTGTTTCTTACAGTAAAACAGTTTTAAATAAGTGAATTACTTGTTACCTGTTTAAAGGAATGGTTGTGTGTTACGTCATTTAGATGACCCAGCCTTTATTCAGACACATTAAAGGAGTACCAGTGATTTATTATGTCATTTTCATAAAGTTGGGGGACTTTTTTTAAAGAATGGACCAAATCATTGCAGCAGAGGCTGATATCTGGGCTTTTAGTCCTCAAAATGGGTAAAACTCCAAACTACAATTCTCATGAGGCAACACGACAGCATCATTTCCTAGACTTTATAGTCAAGTTCTATCACAGTTCAGACATGTTAAAGGCATGTATAATGTTATTATATTAATACTATACTAATGTTGGATAAAAGTTTATTTTAACGCTGCTTATGCTACAGTACAATACTGTTATACTGCAATTGCTGTATTGAGTACTATAGTAGTATACTTATAATACATCACTATTATACTTCACATGCACTTTAAACTACTTTTTAGCACACTCCAAGTGTGCATGACAAATTGTACCTCAATTTTTTTTATTGACATTAAGAGATTAATGCAGATTTTACACATTTTTCTAAAATGTCTTTATTTGGGCGAGTGTAATTAGGCAACAAAAATCAGCCAGATCAACAAAGGTGTGTTAAGGTTCTGTTATGATAAGGATTCAAACAGGGTGTATTAGTCAAAAAAGCAAATGTCATCATCATCATCTTCATCCGCTTATCCGGGTTCGGGTCCCGGGGGTTTCAGGTCCAGCAAAGGCAAATGTGAGGAATCAAAATCTCAATTAACGAATGAGCAAAGTGTGGCCACAGCGTAGCCACTGAGGGTGAGAGAACGATCTGGTGATGAGTGGTAGAAGAGTGGTCTGTAGAAATACTGCAGGTTGAGGGCATGATGAGAGGCAGATGAGACGACAGAGACCAGATGTGCAGTTGCTGCTGAACCAGGAGAGTAAGGGAGAGATGGTCTCACCCACACCATGAGACGCCCAGACAACAACAAACACACATGGAAAGGCAGACAGGGGAAAACACAAGGAGACACTGGAGTCCTGGCACAGTCGTAACAAAGCGTTTTTCTCTTAAAGTTCACTTTCATACTACTTACACTTCAGGTATACTCAAGTAGTACTCAAACGCAACACAAAAAGCAAACACATAGTAAAAGTGGACTTAGTACATAATGAGAACATCAGATTCTTGTATTTCCAAACACATTCTAGGAACTGTTCTGAACCTGACATCCATAAAGTGATATCTTTCAGTCACAGTTGACACATTATAATAAACAGTGTGTGGCTGCAACTTTGAATAAACAGCCAGTCACACTGTCTGTTATCACCTACATCACTTTGTGGTGATGAATCATTATCAGGCCATAAAAGTACAAAATAAATATGTTCACATGCAAGAGAGAAGTCAGTCTCTGCGTCATTGTGCTGATAAAGATTTTGGTGTGACAAGATGTCCTGATTCCTTCTGTCCTCTAATGCTGCACCTTCATGTCTCAGAATCAGAAAATGAGGCCCAGATAGACAGTGGAGTGTCAGTGATTATTACCAGAATGTTTCACTGATACCTCATTTCACCTCTACACAGTATTTTATTTCTTATTTAAAGAGAGAAGATTTTAGCAGACAGCAAATTGAGAGACTCTATTAAAAAACAGAAACCAGCGATAGAGCGTTTAAAAAAATATACAGCAGATAACCGTAACACTGATATCCATTTACTGCAGAGCCAGTGTGCTGTATGTAACGTCCGCATCTGCTGCTTCAAGCTGTTGGAGAACAAAAGCAAAATGAAAGAGAGGAAGAGCAAAGATTAAAACTGACCTGAAAGCTGTATTATTATAACTTTTTGATCACAGAGATGCTGGATCAAATACTGATACTGGTTAAGATGATACTGCTTATGAGGGTGTTTGTAATATTACAGAAATATAAGTTATATCAATCTGTAATGGTACCTGCAGAAGGACAGAACAGTATATTTAAATATGATACATTTTTAAAACCTGACTGTGGTTACCTTGACAAGAGTTTTTCTCTTATGCTTCACAGTACTGTATGTTACTTCCTCTTCAGCCTGTGAAAAAGGAGCAAAGCACATGTGAGAAGAGATAGAATTAATGGTTTCAGAATGAAATACATTCATTTTATCACCTTGTATTTTTATCCGTAAATAATTTGCAATGGAACAATATAAGTTATTCATATTATTATCATGTTTGTTGAAATAGTCAACATGAAATATAAACATAATTGATTTTTGAAACAATAAAATCAAGATCAGTAAAATTACAGTTGGATAATTCACTACATCAAATTTATGATCACAAACATTCTCAGTTAAGTTTCTATCTGTTTATGGTCACTATATTCTCACAGTGAAAATACACAAGAATGTTATTACTTATTGGGATTATTAGATGTCCATCTGCAGTGGCACAGCACAGCCCTGCAGCTGAATAGGAACAGTTACACTCTAAAACTGGAACTGTTACAAAAAGACAAATAAATACCCTATTGCTCCTTTTACTTTATATGGCTATGACGATGTTTCTGTAACCTTTACTTCCAGGGGAGTCTTTACCGAGAACTAACTTATTTTATGAACGCGCTGTTCACACTTGCACACTTTCACACCAGAAGCTGTCCAGTACAACCACACTCTGTGTCGGCCGCTCAGCAGCTCCTCTGCAGCAGTCAGGGTCTTTTCTTATACTAGTTTCTGAAGCATTTTAGTTGATGAGTGTTATATCAGAAAAAAAAACATACTGATTTAGTTTAGGGATCATCAGCAACAAGGTTTAGTTATTGTCTCTTTACATCCTTACAGTATGTTTATATAAATATATGCTGTCTTCTTTCTCTTCCATTATCTTTTAGCAACCTTTAAATTTCATTCTCAGTTTCATTCTGATAATAGCAGACGTTACCATTTTTATTTTAGTCTTTTACAAAAACAAACATGGTCAGTATTCCCTCAGATACACAGTGATCTGTAATGTCAAAGTACACATTATCAACATTTTAAAGGTGAACTATGTAAGAATGTGACGTTCCCCACTTTCTCGGTTGCCTGTAACAGCCTGTCGAGTGATTTCTCTGTAAAGGATTATTTTTTCAGCATAAATCCAAAGTTTGTGACGTTTGTGCACGCTCCCTACCGCCTTCTATATCGTCGTCTTCTCTCTTTTTATATGCTGAGTCTGCTAACAAACGACTGGCACACATCCAAAGTCAAAGCTAACATTTCTGTAAAGTGTGTGTGGTGGTATTGGGGTTTTAGCTGGCATTAGTTAGATAACATTAGCTTACTTACGCGGATGAATTGCTAGCGACGTACAGCGAGGTTCTACTGCTGGCCTGCACACCAGTCAGGGCTCAATGGCCAACCCTAGGATTCACGTGATTCCAAACATACTATGTGTACATTGGGAACAATCTCATACATAAACACATTGCTTTTCCCCGAGCTGATGATAAAAGTAGCTGACAAGTGAGCAATCTTTGTTTTTCTGATCTCTGTTGAGAGTTTCACATACCAAAGTATATTCAATATTTTTGGGGACTTTTATTGCCTTTAATCGATAGTTACAGCTGCAGAGTGATAGGAAGGGGGGAGAGAGAGGGGGGATGACATGCAACAAAGAGCCATAGGTTGGATTTAAACCCTAGGCCGCTACAGTAAGGACTCAGTCTGGGTACATGGGGAACCAGCCAGGTGAGCTATCCGGGCACCCCTACTGAAGTAGATGAATATCATCATATCTTACTAGCTGTTGATCGTGCTTTGACGTAGTACTGATTGGGCAGGTCAGGTACTGACTGTAGCCACATACTGTCTGTTGAGTGGATAACATTAGCTAATTCATCCAGACTCCTGGGCCCAGGGTGATCTGGGAGATTGCCCAGATCTTTTCAGCCTGGCTGGGTTGCAGCTGGCTGGATAACTATAGCTTGCTTGCTCGCTAACGTTATCACTAGCACAATATTATCTGAGTGGATATGTTATATGATATGTTAACTGGCTGGTCTGCCAAATGACTTCGACAGCTAAAGTGATCCTTAATGCTAACTAATATATTACGACAAACTGTATTGATTTTAGCCAACAATAAATCATATAACAATACACATCAAAGGTGTATAGTGTAACTAACAATTGCTTTGCAACCAGCATTAACCCGCCCTAAAGCATACCCTGCTTTAATGTCTATTTTACTGAACGGGACCATAGTTTATTAAATGAACATCACGCTGTATGGAAGAAGACTTGAAACTATTTACATTTATCAGCTAAAAAATCCAGTCCATGATGTTGAGTACAAATGCAGTTCTTTTTGTAACCAATGAAGCTGCCCCCTGCTGGCCATTAGAATGAAAATAAATTATAATAACCCAGCACCTGCAAATAATGGATCCCTCCTGTATCATGGTTTTGGGTTTAATATACTTATTTCCTCTTTTATTTTGTAATACTCCTCTTGTGTCTTGTTTGGCTATACTTCCTGTCTGTCGGATTATCTTCCCCAACCCGATTAAGTTCACCAGTTGGACTTATTTTTTCCCTTGACTCAGCTGCCATTATTATTTTGTGTTGCCCTGCCTGTTTCAGTTTTCATTGTAAGTTATTAAAGTTACCTTTTTGTTATTTTTATGTTCTCTTGTGTTCTGTCTGCATTTTGGTTCCTGTGTTTCCTGAGTTGTGACATCCTGATAATTGCCCAATACTGCGGTGTAAATTCAAAGCAGTTCTGGCTCTATACTGAGGAACCTTACAGCCTTTGTTGTAAAAAGATAATATAAATCATCATATCTTACCTCAGTTGCAGCTGATGCTGGTGCTTTGGACTGTTCTAAAAGTGAAACAGTAAAACCTCCTGTTACTGACTCTCATTGTGCAATGACAATGCTGCACACGTCTACACTTCAATTAAAAACAGTCCAAATATTGATGATTGGATTCATGAAAGCTCAGAATAGACTTACTGTGTCTTCTCAACATGAACCAGATGAACGAGGCCACCATTAGAATGAAGATCAACAAACTCAAAGGGATGATGAAAGCTCTGCAACAACAGTTTGAATCAATGTACAATCAAACAATGTAGTCTGAAGTATTCATCATCCTGGTCATATTTACTGCAGCTGTACACAATCATATTTTAGTGATAGAAATTAACCTTAGTTATCATATAGGTCACATAAGTCAAATAATGTCAGTAAAGAACACAAGTATATAGATTCCCTCACAAGGACTGATTGATTTGTCCATAAATTAGCCATTGTTCTCTAAATACTGTATGTGAATGTAAAGGCTACTGACCTGTGGTTCCCACCCTGAACTGTGGTAGGTTCCCCAAATGCAGAGACAGCAGTGTGATTCACAGGTTCAGCTGTGGGTGAAGATGTGGTTAAACGTCTGGTTGCTGTAAGAGTGAACATGTGAAACAACACAATGATCACCAGAATCATATCACAATAATGAATACTAATATCACTTCTATATTAAATGCAAACCTTTACTAATGGCTGCACGTGGCAGATATTTACAGCTGAACATTTTATAATAGTAGAATGGTCCTTACTAGTGCTGGGTCTCTCTTTAACAGTCACATGCACTGGCATCTGTAGGAGTCCTTTGGTACAGAAATACCAGCCGCTGCTCTCTGTCCTCAGTCCACTCATAGTCACAGTGAAAACTTTGGAGACATTTGCATTAATGGTCACTCTTGTTCCATTTATTGATCCAGACGGTTCCTTCACACAGGACCCTCCCAGCCTGCACCACTCAATCTCTCCAGTGTTACTATAGGAACCATGGATGGTTACATCTTCTCCATTAAATCCTGTAATCTCCTGATGATCCACAAAGAGTTGGGGCCAACCTTGAGGAAGAACAAATAGCATTAACTAGAACATTGTGGCCAATATTTATATATAAATATGTATCATATATCGCTCAGCAAAATTATATGAGCACAGGTGTACCAAATAAATCCGTGTATCATTCGTTCTTTTCATATTCAATTGAGATTCCAAAATCGGAAAATGAAAAATCGGTTTGTTATTTCCTTATTCGTTTATGAATCTGATACCAAAAAAGAAATAACGGTTTATTTTTTGCATTTTCGATTTATTGCTCAGATCAAAAATAGGAAATGAAATATCGATTTTGATTTTGATATTTTTTTCGCTTTGTGTTAACCGGAAGTTATTGTCTTCTTCGTGTGTTGCACTTGGAAGTTTGCAGCAGTTTCGCAAAGCCCTGAAAAAAGTCAATCATGCAGTGATTGTACTCTGTATTTAAGGACTTATTGTACTCTGTATTTAAGGACTTATTGTACTCTGTATTTAAGGACTTATTGTACTCTGTATTTAAGGACTTATTGTACTCTGTATTTAAGGACTTATTTGAAACTGCCAAGACACATGTAGAGATTTCTACTAGGCTGCAGCAGATGGAGATCCAGTGATGTTCTGACAGTCACCCGTTTAGTTCCTCTGAACAATCACAATCACAATCAGACACTTTAATAAACCCAGGGGGAATTACTTTCGTTACATGCTCCATATGAATTAGACATAAATATATTAAGAATATACATATAGTATCGTTTAAAGTCACACAGTGTAAAGTGGTCGCAGGCTTCCTCTTCAGCAGAGGCTCATAGCAGATGTTGGGTTTGCAGAGGGATGTACGACAACGATGATGACGTGCAGGATTTCTCTCGGTAACGTTAGGTGATATGGACGGAGTCCAACGGCAGCTGTTCAGCATCCGGGCCACAGAGCTGTTCGCTCCCGGTACAACCCCGGTCCGCCCGGACGGTGTGGAAGCGACAGATACGGTCCGGTCCGTAATGTCCCTGTGCAGCCCTGTCTCAGTGACACACACCAGACTCCCGGTACTCTGCGGGGCTGCGCGTTAATGCCGTCAGTTCGTACATTCCGTTGCTAGGAGACCGTGCATCCACCATAACAACAGAGGGGAGACTCTGCTTCAATCTTCTCTTTCTCCATAAACCCGTCCCGTCTCCACCCTCCTCTCTTCCTTCCCTCCTCTGCATCCCCGGTGTGTTTCCTCCAGAGTTCAGCTGGTAGATCAGCTGTTCTGTCCACCGTACCGACCGGCATTAGATCAGCTGTTCTGTCCACCGTACCGACCGGCATTAGATCAGCTGTTCTGTCCACCGTACCGACCGGCATTAGATCAGCTGTTCTCCGGAGTAAACAACGGCAGCGTGTCCCGGTGGAAGCGACATTAAAACACGAAAATGAACAGAAAAACTCTCTCAAACAACCTCGTTGGAGAGGACAGGACTTCATAGAGTGAAAAAATAAGAACGAACAAAAAGAGAATAAAAGTTAAGAAGTTAGAAAGCAGACTGGAGTAACAGGCAGCATGCAGCTTTTCGCGCACGCGCCAGGAAGATGAAGATGAAGATGAATGAAAAGATGAAACTCTCCATCATTGATCCTCAGTTTTGAAGACTAACGTTAGTTAAACTGAAGAAGTGAATCAAGCTAACGAGACAATAACTTCCGGTTCACACAAAGCGAAAAAATTAAATATCAAAATCAAAATCGATCCGTGGCCGTTATTTCATTTCCTATGTTTGATCTGAGCAATAAATCTAAAGTACAAAAAATGAACCGTTATTTGTTTTTTGGTATCAGATTCATAAACGAATAAGGAAATAACAAACCGGTTTTTCATTTTTCGATTTTGGAATCTTATTGAATATGAAAAGAACGAATGATACACGGATTCAAATTACCTATACAGAGAGATATAAGATAACACAAAAAAACAGCTCAAATCCTGTGCTCCACTGAGTCCATAAGGTTTAATTGTGTTCAGTTCATAAATCCAAACTGCCTCCCTTCTTAAGAGCTGGTTAATCAAATTGCCCCCATATATCAAATATATACAGTATATACATTCTTACCTCCAGTGCCTGACAGCTGAAAAAGCTTCCCGTCACTTTTCAGGTCATTTATCTCCACAACACACCAGTAATCAGTGTCGTCCATCATCAGATTATTAATAGTCACAGTGAAAATTCTTTGTTGTTTGTCATCAGAGATTGAAAACTTTCCTGAACTGTCTGGTTGATCAGTTTTAACTTTGCAGGAGCAGGACCCCAAATTATATCCTTTACACAAGTGTTTGACATGGTGTGTGTACTCTGGCTCATAGAGACATGGGATAGAGATGGAGCCTCCAGCCTTCACTGACACTTTACTGACTGTAGTTATGCTGTGAATTCCTGCAACAAGAAACATGAAACCATTTTACTGTAAATATTATATGATATTAAGTTATTACTCAACCAACTGATATTTAAAGAACTGTAATTACAGTCACATCATCTTCTGATGAAACCAGCACACACATAAGGACAGAAATGATCAAATGAGCCCTGTGACTGACCTGTGAGTCCAGTGAAGATGAGGAGAACACTGAGATGAAGAGCCATGTTGATGAGCAGAGTAAGACACAACAACAAGGACCAACTCACTGTGAGAATGATTCTAGACTTCCTGATTTTACTAAAATAAGCAGTTGTGTTAAAATGTCTCTTCTTCCTGTAAGTTCGTTGAGACACACTGTTTGAATGAGGAAGCAAATATCTATGAAGCTAGAACATGCTTTGTATGTGCAACATAATTAATAGTTAATTAATTTATTAATTATTTGTTTTGTTGTGAAAAATGCCACAGTGTACTTTTTAAGGACACAGTATTTGACTTTTGCTGATCTTTGCTCTTAAAACACGACTGTCTCTGATTTTTATTCTACAAAACAGGACTCATAAGAACCCTGTAACATTTAAAGTAGACTGGGTGTAAGGTCCACTGGATACACAGTTTCAAAATAAAAGACCAGCACTCCAAGATCTGAGGCTGCAGAATCAGAAACATCTTTTTAATAACTTTTCAAAACATATCTTTTAAGTTCCTTTTAAACAGCCCTAAAATGTAACAATGCGGAAATTATCTAATTTAAAACACAGAAAACTTTCCACATCTCACACTTAGATTGAGAAAAGAATGGAGTTCAATATTATATACAGCACATGGGAAGCAGAGAGAAAATGGGATTTGGAGACAAGCTTAAAGTAAAAATGTCCCAATATCACTGATGGTCGGACAACTTCAATACTTCTTCAGATTGTCTGTATGTGAGTCAAATTATGTGCAGTGTGTGTGTAAAATCAGAGGCTGCAGATGCACAAAGCTGCAGGATGAGCGATAGAGGTGTGCTGTGTGTGTTTTATCATTATAGATGCATAAACTGAAGCACACAGTGTGATGTGACAGTGGGAAGATCAGAGCTTCACACCAACACAAAGACCAAAATGGCAAACAATTTATTGATCTTCTGTTGTCACTAAAATCTCTGACTGAGCGTTCTCTCTGTCTCAGTTTTGATTTCAAATAAAAAATTTGCTGTATTGATGATTCATGGACAACATCCAAGGTTTATAATGTGATTAAAATAAATCTCAACAGACATTAAGTAAAGTAGACATGTGTTACTGTAACTTTACAAACTTAAAGGGAATCAAATAATTGTACATAAATCATGAAAAAGAATATAATACATTAAATGAAAGATGTATTCTATACAATTTTGAGAATGATGACCCTGCAGGTAAGACAACTGTTAAATAAATGAGGATAACTACGCCCTAAAATCTGGAGGTGAAAGCTCTAATCAGTATTTTACATATTAGATATGAATGAAAGAACTGTTTGTACTAAAAAGATTGCAGTATTAATGAACAGTAAACCCAAGATGATGATAATAATAATAATAATAATAATAATAATAATAACAAAGTTTATTTATATAGAGGTATTCTGTTACAAACAGCTTCACAAAAAGATCAAATACAATAAATGAACAATAAAATATAAAGAAATAAAATGGACACTTTTTTTGAAGTCAGAATGTTTTATGAAGCGATTTAAAAGCAGTGACAGATTGATCAACCTAATCTCAGCAGATGAACTAAAAGAGTTTTATCACAAACACAAACAAACTGGTCAGAGCTTCTTTTGCAGATATACAGAGGAGGATCAGAAAGTAGAGGGAACGTCGAATAGCTCAAAATGAACTCTCTGTGCAGTTCTAATATTTACTGCACAAACAAACAACAGCAGCAGCACAATGGAGGACAGAAGGAACATGACAGTGGAAGAATAAAGAGAAACAGTGTGAACAGTGTCAGGCCGGGCTGGGTCTCTTAAATGGACCACTTTCTGCAGTTTGTTGCTTTCTGGAAACCACAGAACGTTTCATCCACATCACTCTCAGTGTATGACCTCTGGGTGGAGACACACATACACACAAAGAAAGAAAACAGTTGTGATCCCAGAAAAAACCCAATATTATAGCACTGGTACAGTACAGTCCTACAGCCTGCACTGTTCTGTAGAGAGACAGTATAAAATGTACACTCTCTTTCTATCACTGCAGTATAATAAGACAGTGACCAGGATAGTGCCTTTAGGGTCCGTGTATGTTTTGGTCATTGGATTTTCCTTTCACAAACGGGTATTAAAAAACAGAAAACGAGTGGTTATTTGATTTTCGTTTTAAAATACAAAAATTAAAATTGAAATACAAGGCGTTTTTCTTTTTCATGGTCAAAAAGGGATGAGCGAAATTTTAAAAATGATTCGATTTTCATTTTCTATTTCATATAACAAAAAATAAAATCACTAGAAAACAGAAACAGAAAAAAGGCCTGTTGTTTCATATTCTGAGACCGGATGTTGTCATTTACAGGACGGTGCTGTGTAGAAGAAACAGTAGGCTAGTAGACTGCGGTCAATCCAGCCGTGAGTCCGATCTCCGTGGTCAAATCAGCCGCACTTAAATTTAGAGAGTACAAGTATTCTCAGCATTATGGTAAATGCAGAGAAACAGCGTATTTACTTCCGGTTTTCAAAATAAATGTATTTAGAGCCGTAAGCTATAATTAAAATACGTTACATTAAAGTTTTGTGCCCATGATGAATAAAAAAACACTTTATATCAAGTATCTTTACTGCACCAGTGTGGAGAAATGCCAAAATAAAAGCCTCATATTTATGCCTCCAGAGATTGCATATTTGACCATATTTGAGATACTGTAAAAACATATTGCTCAGTGTTTCCTGGCTACTGATGGTATATTTGACTTTTACACATATGAGACTACAAGTATACTTAATATCAAGCATTTTTACTGTACCAATTTGGAGAAATTGAAGAATAAAAGTCCCATATTTATACTTCTAGATTCCATATTTTTATGAAATAGAAAATGAAAATCGAATCATTTTTTTAATACCCGTTTCTGATAGGAAAATCCAATGACCAAAACATACACGGACCCTCTAGTTCTACAATGCTGCACTCCTCTACACTTTTAAAGACAAATATTTGGGAATAACAAACACGTTTGACATTTATCAAAGTTCAGCATAGACTTACTGCATCTTTTGAACATGAACCATATGAACGAGGCCACCATTACAATGGAGATCAACACGCTCAGACGGATGATGAAACTCTTCAGGTGAATGGAAACACTGGAACATAAATTACAAGCACACAATGCAAATCATAAAAAGATCAGTCTTCATTGAACAGTACTATGATATCATCTAAAATGTATTCACCATCTAAAAACATATTATACTTTTTACTAATTAATCTAGGAAGTTATATCTGATGTCAATAAAAATGCATGTATAGAGATTCCATTACAAATGTTGGATTGATTTGTCCATAAATTAGCCATCGTACTGTATGTGAATGTAAAGCCTACTGACCTGTGGTTCCCACCCTGAACTGTGGTAGGTTCCCCATATGCAGAGACAGCAGTGTGATTCACAGGTTCAGCTGTGGGTGAAAATGTGGTTAAACGTCATTTCATTGTAAGAGTGAACATGTGAAACAACACAATGATCACCAGAATCATATCACAATAATGAATACTAATATCACTTCTATATTAAATGCAAACCTTTACTAATGGCTGCACGTGGCAGATATTTACAGCTGAACATTTTATAATAGTAGAATGGTCCTTACTAGTGCTGGGTCTCTCTTTAACAGTCACATGCACTGGCATCTGTAGGAGTCCTTTGGTACAGAAATACCAGCCGCTGCTCTCTGTCCTCAGTCCACTCATAGTCACAGTGAAAACTTTGGGGACATTTGCATTAATGGTCACTCTTGTTCCATTTATTGATCCAGACGATTCATTCACACAGGACCCTCCCAGCCTGCACCACTCAATCTCTCCAGTGTTACTATAGGAACCATGGATGGTTACATCTTCTCCATTAAATCCTGTAATCTCCTGATGATCCACAAAGAGTTGGGGCCAACCTTGAGGAAGAACAAATAGCATTTACTAGAACATTGTGGGCAGTATATATATCGTAAACAAAACTCTCCATGCATGATAGTCAGGTACTGGTAGGTCACACAACCATTTAGTAAAAAATCGTAATTAACCACCGTACGCTGGAGTGCCTTTACTGTGATTTATTTAAGAATGAACAACACGTTTGCTTGCAGCTTGCTCAGGTTTGCTCAGCAAAATTACATGAGCACAGGTGTGCCAAATAGGCCATCACAGTCTTCATTGTTTTCTTTTTCTCTTTTAAAGTGTTTTATATATATTACAAATGTTTTATATATATTACAAATGTGACAGCATAGCAAAAACATGAAATACAAAAATACATATTGCAAAAGACAACGCAAGATAAATTTAAGAATCACACCACATTACGAACAACAAGAAGAAAACTAATGTAAATGTCCTATAGGTCCTACTACTGTCTCTCTACACCACTAAATAGGAAGGCCAGGGGACCTAGTTTCTCATCTCTCCTTAAGGGTCCAAATTACCTGCACAGAGAGATATAAGATAACATTAATGTTACAAAAAACAGCTCAAAACCTGTGCTTAATGGAGTCAATAAAGTTCAATTGTGTTCAGTTCATAAATCCAAACTGCCTCCCTTCTTAAGAGCTGGTTAATCAAATTGCCCCCATATATCAAATATATACAGTATATACATTCTTACCTCCAGTGACTGACAGCTGAAAAAGCTTCACGTCATTATACAGGTCATTTGTCTCCACAACACACCAGTAATCAGTGTCGTCCATCATCAGATTATTAATAGTCACAGTGAAAATTCTTTGTTGTTTGTCATCAGAGATTGAAAACTTTCCTGAACTGTCTGGTTGATCAGTTTTAACTTTGCAGGAGCGGGACCCCACATTAGATCCTTTACACAAGTGTTTGACATGGTGTGTGTACTCTGGCTCATAGAGACATGGGATAGAGATGGAGCCTCCAGCCTTCACTGACACTTTACTGACTGTAGTTATGCTGTGAATTCCTGCAACAAGAAACATGAAACCATTTTACTGTAAATATTATATGATATTAAGTTATTACTCAACCAACTGATATTTAAAGAACTGTAATTACAGTCGCATCATCTTCTGATGAAACCAGCACACACATAAGGACAGAAATGATCAAATGAGCCCTGTGACTGACCTGTGAGTCCAGTGAAGATGAGAAGAACACTGAGATGAAGAGCCATGTTGATGAGCAGAGTAAGACGCAACAACAAGGACCAACTCACTGTGAGAATGATTCTAAACTTCCTGTTTGAACTAAAATAAGGAATGGCAGTGGTTAACCTCTGTGTTCCTTCTTCATTAAGTTAGCTGAAACACACTGTTTGAATGAGGAAGCAAATATCTATGAAGCTAGAACATGCTATGTAGGTGCAACATAATTAATAGTTAATTAATTTAATTATTTCTTTTGTTGTGAAAAATGCCACACTGTACTTTTTAAGGACACAGTATTTGATTTTTGATGATTTTTGCTCTTAAAACACGACTGTCTCAGATTTTATTCTACAAACTGGATACACACTTTCAAAATAAAAGACCTGCACTCCAAGATCTGAAGCTGCAGAATCAGAAACATCTTTTAAATAACTTTTTTAATACTTTTGTATTGATTCTAGCTCTCTGTTTTATTAAAAACTAGTGTATCTGTCAATTATTGTTGTTTTTATCTTATATTGGTTTTCAGTATTTATTTTTGTATTGTTTAATTTTCAGATTTTTGTAAAGCACAAACAAAAACAACAAATGAATGAGCGCAGTTTTAACTGGTGATACACATGCATCCCTGTCTCCTTTCCTGAACACACTCTCAGATCAGAGGACTCTTCCTGTCTCTGTCCATGCATTCATGCTTTCCACAGTGACAGTGACACCTGCTGGCCATTTGCTGATACAGCAGACCAGAATACATCCATGAGTGAACAAATCATTGCAAATCATGAAAAAATACATAATACATTAAATGAAAAGATGTAGGCTATACTGTGTTTGTTAAGAATATGATCAAAATATAATTATTATATACTATAATGTCTCTCACTCAGACGTGTGCATCAGTAAAATGTCATGGAAACAGAATGATGAGGTCCTCTAAGGTCTGCGATTCTGATTTCTCACTCTGTATTTGGACACAAGTTGACCTGCTGCAAAAGGTAAGAAACTAACTCTATAAAAAGCTAACTCTATCAAAGCTAACTCTCTGAAAACTAACTTGGAGGGAATCTCCTGGATCTTCTCTAAATAGACCTTGTTGAAAAACAAACTTGTGGATTGCTAAAATATTGTGGAAAAGTGAACAGCTGGAAAATGGCCTTCAGGGGACCCCCACCATCAGAGAACAGCTGCTGACTGGAGTCACCCCTGAGTTGGATAATGAGAGAATTATTCTAATGATTTTATTAATTTATCAACATATAATCCCTAAACAACAATTATATTCCCTAAACAACAATTCCTCAGTATGAATATGAATGTCACTTTTTGGACCGACGTTAACACCATTTCAGAAGGTGTGCTGAAAATGAACAATTTCTCCTGTAAACTGATTTGATGCATAGAATGCATTGAATATCCTGGACATTTTGAAAATACTCTGGTTTTGGGTTGAGGGATTCAAATTGTCCAAATTTTCCATAAAAATTATTGGAAAAAAGGCCCATGGGCCAAAAATTGAAATAAGTGTCTCTTGTTCACCATGGCAACGAAGGCGAGGACGTCATGACGCACAGGTGTAAACAAACCTGAGCTGTCTTGTTTTGATTGTTGCGGCATCAAATCGTTTTAGTTAGTAGGCCTTTTTATTTTTCACAGTTAAATGATCTTTGTTCAGTGCCTCTGAAAAAGTCTGGATGTGTACAACTTTGCCTTTTTTATTCAATAAATATTGGACCACGGCTGCGGCTCCCCTTGAAAATAGAATTTACAAAAATGTACTCTCATTTAAAATGTCATCATACATTGCAATAATACCTGTGATCACAAAGCAGGTGTGTGTAGGTGTGTGTGTGTGTAGGTGTGTGTGTGTGTGTGTGTGTGTGTGTGTGTGTGTGTGTGTGTGTGTGTGTGTGTGTGTGTGCAGGTGTGTGTGTGTGTGTGTGTAGGTGTATGATCGTATTAAGTTAAATGAACAAGACAAACAACAGAAAAAAGTGAAATACAATACACGGTTTGTACAGCACATGAAAATCATATGTTAAATGTTTATTTATTTATCCTTTAAAACCTGAATGAATGCCACATTAAATTCTAATTAAACTAAAATTTCATTTCAGTGTCATTTATACGGAGCCAAACTATAACAGAGATTATCTCAGGACACTTTTCAGATAGAGCAGGTCCAGATCTTACTCCTTCCCACATCACTAATGAACAATCACATGATGAAAACAAAGTGAAAAGGTGTGTGTTGTCCAGTAGAGAGCAGCACAGACCTGCCAATACTAGAGGTATCAGTGCTTTGAATCATGCTTTAAAGACAGCGATTTGGAATCTGTAACTCTGTATAACCGACATGCATAATCTTTGTGGAAAATACACAATAATAAACAAACAGAACAGAAGTGGTGTAAACACTGATTCTCATGACCCGACACGCAGCACAAAATGACTCATGTCCTCATCTGCATGTGTGAGTAGTAACAACATTTCAGCACAGAAATGCAGGTCAAAATATTATATTGCCATTACACAGTATGGCCACCAGAGGACTGACTGAGTACACTGAGTTTATTTTTACCCTGTAAAATGTCCCAGTCAGTATGTATCATGTATTTATGAGAGTAAAAAGACAAATCCAAGGCATCTGTATCTCCATTGTTTGTTTGTGTGATTTATTTAAAAATTACTATTGGCCACTGTATCGTTAGACTTTTTAAACTCCCAACTATCAATATCAGTATTGTCCAGTATCAGTCAGACTACAAAATATCAGTGGCAGAACAGAACAATATTTGATACTATTGCATCCAGTTGTGTTTTGAGGGCTTTGCCAACTGCTTGTGACCCATGGAATGCAGTCATAGTTAAAGTCACGGTAACCATTTTTAATTACCAAACTATTTATTGTTCTAAGAAATATTTGAGTTTTCAGATGCTTCTTAACTTTTTTCTGTCAGGTGGTGAAAACCACATCACTGAAGCTCCTGCAGATGATGGCCACTCTGGGGTAATCAGGATTATGGACAGCACTGAAGGTGACAATCTCCCAATCTGCATCTCTTCTGATGAGGAAGAAGATGGCGAGGTTGAGGTTGTTACTGTGGCTGAAGGTGAAGGTGAGGAAATTCCTCCACTCTCCTCTGATGATGAGGAGTCTGAGGAAGATAAAAGAAGCTTCCATTGACTTTGGTAATCCCTTGACTTTTTGTCTAGTGCCACCATGAGGTTGACATTTCTGTCTTTTAGTGAATTCTTAATAACTGCTGGAGGGATTGCCAAGAAATTAGGTGCAGACATTCATGGTTCCCAAACAATACAGACTTTTCTTTTAGTGCAGTAGTTTTTTAACTGGAGGTGAAAGCTCTAATCAATATTTCTCATGAAAAAATGAATTCCAGCCTTGGTACAGCTAAAAACAAAAAGAATTGCTGATATTTCTGGATGAGTGAATACAAAAGCATCTATAATACTGCTCAGTGCAAATGAAATGAATCCAGTTTGTGAGGTAATTAAAGTTAATGTTGTATAACAAACATTTGGGAGTACAGATTTTGCCAAGGCTAGAAAAGGTTTGATGGTATTATGAACCTTTAATGGTGGAAACTAATGAGTAAATCAATAGATGGCTGTGACTACCAATATCTATAATTGATAATCTAATAGCTTCATATACTACCCAAACTACTTATTTCGAAACATTCCTCTACAACCACCTCCAGATTTGTTCTCAAAAACATTTGATTTTGCCAGAGCGCCAGTCAATGTGGGGATTATGTTTCTTAAGCCACGGAAAACCCAAAATCAGTGGATGCTGTGCTCAATCAAATAAATGAAGTTGCATAACTTCTGTGTGGTTGTGGTTTAATGTTACCTGTATGGTTCGATGCAATGAGTAACTTTAAACAATAATCGGCCATCCAAAGCACTGGCATTAACAGGATGTGACAGAGGAACAGTCTTAATCTGGTTCTGTTGGGCTAGAGTCCAGTTCATGACAATATTGTCTGCCCCAGAGTCAATTAAAGCCCCCTGAGTTAGAGTCTGATCATTTATGGAGAGTTTACCTGGGTCAGTGATTGAGGAGGAGGAATATTGGTGGACCCAAAAGCACAACTCTGGCACAGACGAAGTTGCAGGGAAAAATGATATTTATTTGACAAACGGCGCTCTATAGGAGGATATGAAAAAGGCACGCAAAAGTCAAACTTCAATTGACACATAAAATAACCTGGATACTCACTCTTGAAGATAAACTGACAAAGGGAGACAAGGACTATTTATACCGTGTGTAAGTGAGAACAGGTGAAAGCAATCAGGGGCGGGAAGACAATTACAAAGGCGAGAAAATCACACAAAGGAGTAAGTCAGGGTTTGCATAGTGAGGGAAAAGGTGAGTACAAAACAAAACAGGAAAGACTAAACAACAAACAAACTAAAACATGACTGAACTTAACAAACTTGACGAGACACAACATTGAATTCCTACAACAAGAAACATGAAACCATTTTACTGTAAATATGATATGATATTAAGTTATTACTCAACCAACTGATATTTAAAGAATCAATCTGATTGATTTGATTAAAATTCTGACAATATCATTTTCTTTATTATAGTCCCATCATCTTCTGCCATAACCAGCACGCATAATGAAACACAAATGATCAAATGAGCCCTGTGACTGACCTGTGGGTTCAGTGAAGATGAGAAGAACACTGAGATGAAGAGCCATGTTGATGAGCAGAGTAAGACACAACAACAAGGACCAACTCACTGTGAGAATGATTCTAGACTTCCTCATTGAAGCAATTTCAGTTTCATTCACTGGCTTCATATCTATGAAGCTTGAATGGGTTAACTTTTATTTCTTAAAACCTTAGACACAGTGTTTGGTAAATGCATTCTGCTCTTGAGAAGCAGATGGTCGGACAACTTCAATACTTCATCAGATTGTCTGTATGTGAGTCAAATTATGTGCAGTGTGTGTGTGTAAAATCAGAGGCTGCAGATGCACAAAGCTGCAGGATGAGGGATAGAGGTACTGACTGATAATAAAGGACTTATTCTACAAACAGCTGAATGACACTAATGGAAACAATGTGAATTATTATTAGTAGTAGCAGTAATAAAATATTTAACACTTGTATACTACATTTTGTTTAATATACTTTAATTTAAGCTCAAAAATTAAAAGTATAATCATCATAGCTTTTGCAAACTTAAATTATATTTCTAATCCACTAATGTATTCTACATTTTGACCTGGGACATGCTACTCAACACTATTTGCTCAAGATCTGAGCTTTTTCTTTTCTGAGGCAAAAACACTGACAGTGGGAAAGAGTTTAACACATTATAATACACATTTATTAATCACATTGGAATAAACAGCAAGTCACACTGTCTGTTATCACCTCCATCACTTTGTGGTGATGAATCATTACCAGGCCATATATGTACAAAATAAATATGTTCACATGTATAAGAGAGAAGTCAGTCTCTGCGTCATTGTGCTGATAAAGATTTTGGAGTGACAAGATGTCCTGATTCCTTCTGCTCTCTAATGCTGCACCTTCATGTCTCAGAATCAGAAAATGAGGCCCAGATAGACAGTGGAGTGTCAGTGATTATTGTTGTGCACCTTTGTCTATGGTTCTGTCCTTCTCTCTTTACTGTTATGAATTGGCACTATACAAATAAAACTGAATTTAATTGAATGTAATTGAATTCATAACACTGATATCCATTTACTGCAGAGCCAGTGTGCTGTATGTAACATCCTCATCTGCTGCTTCAACCTGTTGGAGAACAGAAGCAAAATGAAAAAGCAAGAACAAAGATTAAAACTGACCTGAAAGCTGTATTATTATAACTTTTTGATCACAGAGATGCTGAATCAAATACAGATACTGGTTAGAATGATACTGCATATGAGGGTGTTTGTAATATTACAGAAGTTATATCAATCTATAATGGTGCATTGCTGTTCTGCAGAGGGACAGAACAGTATATTTAAATATGATACATTTTAAAACCTTATATCACTGTGGTTACCTTGACAAGAGCTTTTCTCTTAAACTCCACAGCACTGTATGATACTTCCTCTTCAACCTGTGAAAAAGGAGCAAACCACATGTCAGAGGAGTGAAATTAATTGTTTACAGAATCAAACTATTCATTCTATCACGATCATGCATTTTCCTGTGCTACATCGTTGCAGCAGGCTTGCTTGTGTAATCAAGTAAGGTCCAATGAGAGCTTTACCAGATTTCATTATATTAACAGACAATGCCATCTTAGGACTTTCACCTACAGAATATACAGTAAGAGTGGCAGTACTGTACCACCTACTGTAACTGCCAAAGAAATACAACATGGAGGTTTAATTCAAGCTTTCTTAATGACTCCTCAAATGAGCAATGAAATTCAAATGTGTACAAAAGAAAATGATAATGGAGAAATATCGCCACCTATGGTATGGTGTTTTGGGTTTTACATTCACACATATACAGCTCTCCTTCCACTCACACAGACATTGCAGACATACTGATTTGCTGACAGACAAAAAACAGTTTATTATTATTTTGCATGTACTTAATTAAATTGAGTTAACTATTCGCAGACTGTGTGGTCTCCCTCTTTTGTCACACACTTTTGAGCCAGGCTGTCACAAAATGGGGGCTCGTTTTCCTTTGTTTGGTAAGTTTTCTAATGTTCAGTAGAACCTTATTTGTAATTTGCTGGTAGGTTAGTATTCTTTTGTCATCTCTATTCTCCCACTTATCTGCTTAGGTTAAGGTTTGGGGCTACCTGCAGAAGATGGTAAAGAGTGAATTTGTTCCAGATTTAGTTTTGTATGACCCAAGTTGGTAGTCTGGGTATTAGAGCTGCTAACAATCAGTTTTGGGAGGCTGTATAGTCTAGAGTTTTGGTTACTAGTTGAGATTGAGCGTAGTTTGTCTGTGTATCAGAGGTTTGGTTAAGGTCCCTATAGTAAAGCAACAAAGCCAAAGCCTGTTAGAGTTAGAGCTTTAGTGCTGTCTTGTGTAGGGCTGGAGACAGTTTTTGGACATTTTGAGCCATTGTGACAGAGTTGATTGTTTGGAGTGCACATGTGGAAACTGGAGCTTTCTCTAGTAGGATGAAGGAATGTTTCTCCTTTGGGATTAGTTCCTAAAATCATTGTAGTGTTGCAGTGAAAATGGTTAGAGCAGTTGTCTCGGGGGCACATTCTAGAATCGAGCGGGTCGCTGTTGTGCAGTGGCCGTCCTCGCTCTGGTGGTTTGTAGTGCATAAATAATAAATACACACTGTAAGTAACTGCATGAAGACCAGGTTTGAGATTAGTATGTTTTTGGGTAGGGAGTTAGTGGGAAAACTCTAATTGTATGGCATCGCATTGATCAAAACTATACTTTTATGGCTACTTTTGCTAGTTTTGTTCAGTCTCCATCTGAGGAGCTTTTGAATAGTTGTACAAAAAAGCAACTTTTGAAGCTAGTTGAGCATTATGATGTTGACATTAGAGAAAAACAGTTAAAGGGGGAAATTAAAGGGTCGTTGAGGGCTGCTTTAATGGAAAATGGAGTTCTGCCGGTTACTTTGCAGTGTCTGTGAGTCTGTGGTTTCTTCTCCAGGTTTAACTTTTGAGCAGCAAAAAGAGTTTTTTTCTTTTGTAAATGGAGAGGGATAAAATAGGCATAGAAAAGGAACGACTATGGCAGTCTTTGGAAAAGGAAAAACTAGAGTTACAGCACTTCAGGTTAAAGCTAATTAGGGAAGGTAAGATGTCAGGTTACGCTGACACTCAGTGTCCATATGAGTCTGGGTCATCTGTATCTCAATGTTTGAAAATGTTTGATGTGGTGGGTAACTTGCGTTTTTTGCCGAAATGTGATGAAAGATCCAGACACTTTTTTTTCTCCCTTTTTGAACGTTTCACTAATGCTAGCAGTTGGCCTGATGCTGACCGTGTAGTGATGTTGCAATCGGTACTGACAGGCAAAGCACAAGAAGTTTATTCAGTGCTCAGTGCAGCTGACAGCCAAGTATATTCTACTGTATGTTCTCAGAGGCAATTTTAAAGACTTATGAGTTGGTACCAGAGGCCTATGGGCTGTTCAGATGTCGAGTTTGCAAGGGACTTAACTAAACATTTCAACAGGTGGTGTTCAGCAACGGAGGTCACTACTTTTAAAGATCTGGGTGATCTGATGGTGCTAGAGCAGTTTAAAGATTGTATTCCATCTGAGGTTGTCACTCATATTGCTGAGCGTGGTGTAGAAAGTGCCTCTGAAGCTGCTATTCTGGCAGATGAATATGTGTTGGCACATAAAAGAAAATTTGGAGCAAATTATGTTTCAGATAATGCTAAAGCTAATGGTCATTCTGCTAAATGTTCTTGGTCATCCTGTTGTTCAAATAGTGGTACCAACTAAGTATCGAAATCAAGTGTTGAAGTGTTCTCATGAACAGACAGGGCATTTGGGGGTTAGGAAAACATATGGTCACGTATTACATTTTTTCTTTTGGTCTCATCTTAAAGCGTGATGTGGCAGCTTACATTAAGACGTGCCATACATACTGTCAAGTAACATGCTTTGTTTGAATGACTGGCAGATGGAAATTTAACCGTAAACTTAGCAAAATGTGAGTTTGCAAAAGCTACTGTGACATATCTTGGTAAGGTTGTAGGTCAGGGTCATGTGAGGCCTGTTTCTGCCAAAGTTTCCACCACTGATGAGTTTCCTGTACACACTACTAAGAAGGAACAAATGAGGTTTTTCATAGAAAGCAAGCAGGATAAGATCCGAACAGTATTCGAATCATTTTACAAACTACTATACTCTAGAGTGCAAGAACACTAAGAAGAACGAATTGATTCTTTTTTTGGAGGCCCTAGAACTGCCAGTTAGGACTGGAAGATCAAAATAAGGCTCTAAGTACAGAAATAACTGCAACTTACAATGGTACAAAACAACTAATAAGTCATGCCTGCTAGCCACATGCAACTGGGCTCTGAAGAAAGCAGAACACACTAACGATAATGGTAATTCTCAGTGTTGGAGGAAGTGTCGCTGTTAAGCAGCTAACCACTATCATGTTTTCTGAGAATGTCAGATGACGAATGATGGGCCTACCATACATAATTGGATAGGTGTTGAATGGGTTAGATTTATCCAACCCATGAGACCCAATTTGGTTAAGCTATTGAACTGAAGGAACATCCACTATCTATGTATTTATTTACTTTTATTTTCTCTGTTGTATCCTCTTGAATAAAAAATATCCACAGTTTTTATTTATTTTGTTTGTTTAGTTTTTCCCCCTTTCTCTTTCCCTCTCTGGATGTGTATAGTTATGGTATGTCCTTTTATTATAGCCACTAAAATGAAAGGAAAGGCTATGGACCAAACTAAATGATAATTAGGTTGTGAAACCATATTAAGGGTACAAGATATATTACTACTTTTCCTTTATTGTACCTTTCGTCTTCCTATATACTCATCTATATTGTTACTTTGCATGTAATAATATTGCTTTTTGTGAAATGAAAAAAAATATGTTATGTATACATACGTAATATATAAAAATATTTTTATATTGAAGATATCTTCTAATCACGTGTCTCAATAGAAATCTCTTAATTTAGGGGAGACGCTGCAGCTAAGTGCAGCCAGTGTAATTAAGTGCAAACAGCCTGCAAACTATGCCCTGTAACACAACAACAACAAAAAAGGAAACAAATAACTGAACTACTAACAAACAACAAAAAAAGTACACATGGGGAGGGAAAAGTTCACAAGAGAAAAATACACCCAATATGCTGTGGACAAATCCCGCTGCTACCACTCCTTAACATATTGCATTTAATATGGTTCCTGAGCAATGCACTATATTCCCACAGCAAATGCTATACATTAACAGCTACCCTGAGCAGCGAGCTAGAAATAAACAAATGAAAATCAAAACCAAAAATGAAGGTAAACTAAATTAATACAAAACCGCAACTGAGTAAGTAAAACAAATATAAAGACTTGTTGATGTTTCAGAAAGGTTTTGAGGAGACAAATACTAAAAAAAAACAGAATCTTGATCCATATTTGATCAGCACTGGCTAGTTTGACAGTTTTATCTGAGTTTTGTTGGTTGCTCCGGACAGACCTGTCAATCACAAGGTAGCCATACCCTAAAGCATACTCTGCTTTATAGTCTATTTTAAATGGGACCATAGTTTACTAAATGATCATCATGCTGTATGAAGACTTAAAACTAGAGACTACTAGGTTTAAGACACTTCCTCATTGGCCTCACTTCTCTAACCTGGAAGCTCTATCCACTGATTATGTTCTGTTAGTGAAAATAACGCAATGCATGCAAATAATGTGTGAATGTGTGTGTCCGTCCTGATGATTGCCCGACACTGCAGTGTAAACACAAAGGATGATGATAGCAGCTCTGGCTCTATACTGAGGAACCTAACGGTCTTCGTTGTAAAAAGATAATATAAATCATCATATCTTACCGCTGTTGCAGCTGATGCTGGTGCTTTGGTCTGTTCTAAAAGTGAAACAGTAAAACCTCCTGTTACTGACTCTCATTGTGCAATGACAATGCTGCACACGTCTACACTTCAATTAAAAACAGTCCAAATATTGATGATTGGATTCATGAAAGCTCAGAATAGACTTACTGTGTCTTCTCAACATGAACCAGATGAACGAGGCCACCATTACAATGAAGATCAACAAACTCAAAGGGATGATGAAAGTCAGTGGGTAAATGGAAGCTCTGCAACAACAGTTTGAATCAATGTACAATCAAACAATGTAGTCTGAAGTATTCATCATCCTGGTCATATTTACTGCAGCTGTACACAATCATATTTTAGTGATAGAAATGAACCTTAGTTATCATATAGGTCACATAAGTCAAATAATGTAAGTAAAGAACACAAGTATATAGATTCCCTCACAAGGAATGATTTATTTGTCCATAAATTAGCCATTGTTCTCTAAATACTGTATGTGAATGTAAAGCCTACTGACCTGTGGTTCCCACCCTGAACTGTGGTAGGTTCCCCAAATGCAGAAACAGCAGTGTGATTCACAGGTTCAGCTGTGGGTGAAAATGTGGTTAAACGTCTGGTTGCTGTAAGAGCGAACATGTGAAACAACACAATGATCACCAGAATCATATCACAATAATGAATACTAATATCACTTCTATATTAAATGCAAACCTTTACTAATGGCTGCACGTGGCAGATATTTACAGCTGAACATTTTATAATAGTAGAATGGTCCTTACTAGTGCTGGGTCTCTCTTTAACAGTCACATGCACTGGCATCTGTAGAAGTCCTTTGGTACAGAAATACCAGCCGCTGCTCTCTGTCCTCAGTCCACTCATAGTCACAGTGAAAACATTGGAGACATTTGCATTAATGGTCACTCTTGTTCCATCTATTGATCCAGACGGTTCCTTCACACAGGACCCTCCCAGCCTGCACCACTCAATCTCTCCAGTGTTACTATAGGAACCATGGATGGTTACATCTTCTCCATTAAATCCTGTAATCTCCTGATGATCCACAAAGAGTTGGGGCCAACCTTGAGGAAGAACAAATAGCATTAACTAGAACATTGTGGCCAATATTTATATATAAATATGTATCATATATCGCTCAGCAAAATTATATGAGCACAGGTGTACCAAATAAATCCGTGTATCATTCGTTCTTTTCATATTCAATTGAGATTCCAAAATCGGAAAATGAAAAATCGGTTTGTTATTTCATTATTCGTTTATGAATCTGATACCAAAAAAGAAATAACGGTTTATTTTTTGCATTTTCGATTTATTGCTCAGATCAAACATAGGAAATGAAATATCGATTTTGATATTGATATTTTTTTCGCTTTGTGTTAACCGGAAGTTATTGTCTTCTTCGTGTGTTGCACTTGGAAGTTTGCAGCAGTTTCGCAAAGCCTGAAAAAAAGTCAATCATGCAGTGATTGTACTCTGTATTTAAGGACTTATTGTACTCTGTATGTAAGGACTTATTGTACTCTGTATGTAAGGACTTATTGTACTCTGTATTTAAGGACTTATTGTACTCTGTATTTAAGGACTTATTGTACTCTGTATTTAAGGACTTATTGTACTCTGTATTTAAGGACTTATTGTACTCTGTATTTAAGGACTTTATACTTTATAAGGACTTATTAAGGACTTATTTGAAACTGCCAAGACACATGTAGAGATTTCTACTCGGCTGCAGCAGATGGAGATCCAGTGATGTTCTGACAGTCACCTGTTTAGTTCCTCTGAACAATCACAATCAGACACTTTAATAAACCCAGGGGGAATTACTTTCGTTACATGCTCCATATGAATTAGACATAAATATATTAAGAATATACATATAGTATAGTTTAAAGTCACACAGTGTAAAGTGGTCGCAGGCTTCCTCTTCAGCAGAGGCTCATAGCAGATGTTGGGTTTGCAGAGGGATGTACGACAACGATGATGACGTGCAGGATTTCTCTCGGTAACGTTAGGTGATATGGACGGAGTCCAACGGCAGCTGTTCGCTCCCGGTACAACCCCGGTCCGCCCGGACGGTGTGGAAGCGACAGATACGGTCCGGTCCGTAATGTCCCTGTGCAGCCCTGTCTCAGTGACACACACCAGACTCCCGGTACTCTGCGGGGCTGCGCGTTAATGCCGTCAGTTCGTACATTCCGTTGCTAGGAGACCGTGCATCCACCATAACAAGAGAGAGGGGAGACTCTGCTTCAATCTTCTCTTTCTCCATAAACCCGTCCCGTCTCCACCCTCCTCTCTTCCTTCCCTCCTCTGCATCCCCGGTGTGTTTCCTCCAGAGTTCAGCTGGTAGATCAGCTGTTCTGTCCACCGTACCGACCGGCATTAGATCAGCTGTTCTGTCCACCGTACCGACCGGCATTAGATCAGCTGTTCTGTCCACCGTACCGACCGGCATTAGATCAGCTGTTCTGTCCACTGTACCGACCGGCATTAGATCAGCTGTTCTGTCCACCGTACCGACCGGCATTAGATCAGCTGTTCTGTCCACCGTACCGACCGGCATTAGATCAGCTGTTCTGTCCACCGTACCGACCGGCATTAGATCAGCTGTTCTGTCCACCGTACCGACCGGCATTAGATCAGCTGTTCTGTCCACCGTACCGACCGGCATTAGATCAGCTGTTCTGTCCACCGTACCGACCGGCATTAGATCAGCTGTTCTGTCCACCGTACCGACCGGCATTAGATCAGCTGTTCTCCGGAGTAAACAACGGCAGCGTGTCCCGGTGGAAGCGACATTAAAACACGAAAATGAACAGAAAAACTCTCTCAAACAACCTCGTTGGAGAGGACAGGACTTCATAGAGTGAAAAAATAAGAACGAACAAAAAGAGAATAAAAGTTAAGAAGTTAGAAAGCAGACTGGAGTAACAGGCAGCATGCAGCTTTTCGCGCACGCGCCAGGAAGATGAAGATGAAGATGAATGAAAAGATGAAACTCTCCATCATTGATCCTCAGTTTTGAAGACTAACGTTAGTTAAACTGAAGAAGTGAATCAAGCTAACGAGACAATAACTTCCGGTTCACACAAAGCGAAAAAATTAAATATCAAAATCAAAATCGATCCGTGGCCGTTATTTCATTTCCTATGTTTGATCTGAGCAATAAATCTAAAGTACAAAAAATGAACCGTTATTTGTTTTTTGGTATCAGATTCATAAACGAATAAGGAAATAACAAACCGTTTTTTCATTTTTCGATTTTGGAATCTTATTGAATATGAAAAGAACGAATGATACACGGATTCAAATTACCTATACAGAGAGATATAAGATAACACAAAAAAACAGCTCAAATCCTGTGCTTCACTGAGTCAATAAAGTTCAATTGTGTTCAGTTCATAAATCCAAACTGCCTCCCTTCTTAAGAGCTGGTTAATCAAATTGCCCCCATATATCAAATATATACAGTATATACATTCTTACCTCCAGTGACTGACAGCTGAAAAAGCTTCACGTCACTATTATTCAGGTTTATCTCCACAGCACACCAGTAATCAGTGTCGTCCATCATCAGATTATTAATAGTCACAGTGAAAATTCTTTGTTGTTTGTCATCAGAGATTGAAAACTTTCCTGAACTGTCTGGTTGATCAGTTTTAACTTTGCAGGAGCGGGACCCCCGGTTAGATCCTTTACACAAGTATTTGACATGGTGTGTGTACTCTGGCTCATAGAGACATGGAATAGAGATGGAGCCTCCAGCCTTCACTGACACTTTACTGACTGTAGTTACGCTGTGAATTCCTGCAACAAGAAACATGAAACCATTTTACTGTAAATATTATATGATATTAAGTTATTACTCAACAAACTGATATTTAAAGAACTGTAATTACAGTCGCATCATCTTCTGACGAAACCAGCACACACATAAGGACAGAAATGATCAAATGAGCCCTGTGACTGACCTGTGAGTCCAGTGAAGATGAGAAGAACACTGAGATGAAGAGCCATGTTGATGAGCAGAGTAAGACACAACAACAAGGACCAACTCACTGTGAGAATGATTCTAGACTTCCTGATTTTACTAAAATAAGCAGTTGTGTTAAAATGTCTCCTCTTCCTGTAAGTTCGTTGAGACACACTGTTTGAATGAGGAAGCAAATATCTATGAAGCTAGAACATGCTTTGTAGGTGCAACATAATTAATAGTTAATTAATGTATTAATTATTTATTTTGTTGTGAAAAATGCCACAGTGTACTTTTTAAGGACACAGTATTTGATTTTTGATGATCTTTGCTCTTAAAACAAGACTGTCTCAGATTTTTATTCTACAAAACAGGACTCATAAGAACCCTGTAACATTTAAAGTAGACTGGGTGTAAGGTCCACTGGATACACACTTTCAAAATAAAAGACCAGCACTCCAAGATCTGAGGCTGCAGAATCAGTAACATCTTTTAAATAACTTCTCAAAACATATCTTTTAAGTTCCTTTTAAACAGCCCTAAAATGTAACAATGCGGAAATTATCTAATTTAAAACACAGAAAACTTTCCACATCTCACACTTAGATTGAGAAAAGAATGGAGTTCAATATTATATACAGCACATGGGAAGCAGAGAGAAAATGGGATTTGGAGACAAGCTTAAAGTAAAAATGTCCCAATATCACTGATGGTCGGACAACTTCAATACTTCTTAAGATTGTCTGTATGTGAGTCAAATTATGTGCAGTGTGTGTGTAAAATCAGAGGCTGCAGATGCACAAAGCTGCAGGATGAGCGATAGAGGTGTGCTGTGTGTGTTTTATCATTATAGATGCATAAACTGAAGCACACAGTGTGATGTGACAGTGGGAAGATCAGAGCTTCACACCAACACAAAGACCAAAATGGCAAACAATTTATTGATCTTCTGTTGTCACTAAAATCTCTGACTGAGCGTTCTCTCTGTCTCAGTTTTGATTTCAAATAAAAAATTTGCTGTATTGATGATTCATGGACAACATCCAAGGTTTATAATGTGATTAAAATAAATCTCAACAGACATTAAGTAAAGTAGACATGTGTTACTGTAACTTTACAAACTTAAAGGGAATCAAATAATTGTACATAAATCATGAAAAAGAATATAATACATTAAATGAAAGATGTATTCTATACAATTTTGAGAATGATGACCCTGCAGGTAAGACAACTGTTAAATAAATGAGGATAACTACGCCCTAAAATCTGGAGGTGAAAGCTCTAATCAGTATTTTACATATTAGATATGAATGAAAGAACTGTTTGTACTGAAAAGATTGCAGTATTAATGAACAGTAAACCCACGATGATAATAATAATAATAATAATAATAATAAATTTTATTTATATAGAGGTATTCTGTTACAAACAGCTTCACAAAAAGATCAAATACAATAAATGAACAAAAAAATATAAAGAAATAAAATGGACACTTTTTTTGAAGTCAGAATGTTTTATGAAGAGATTTAAAAGCAGTGACAGATTGATCAACCTAATCTCAGCAGATGAACTAAAAGAGTTGTATATTCTCTCGTCACAAACACAAACAAACTGGTCAGAGCTTCTTTTGCAGATATACAGAGGAGGATCAGAAAGTAGAGGGAACGTCTAATAGCTCAAAATGAACTCTCTGTGCAGTTTTAATATTTACTGCACAAACAAACAACAGCAGCAGCACAATGGAGGACAGAAGGAACATGACAGTGGAAGAATAAAGAGAAACAGTGTGAACAGTGTCAGGCCGGGCTGGGTCTCTTAAATGGACCACTTTCTGCAGTTTTTTTGCTTTCTGGAAACCACAGAACGTTTCATCCACATCACTCTCAGTGTATGACCTCTGGGTGGAGACACACATACACACAAAGAAAGAAAACAGTTGTGATCCCAGAAAAAACCCAATATTATAGCACTGGTACAGTATAGTCCTACAGCCTGCACTGTTCTGTAGAGAGACAGTATAAAATGTACACTCTCTTTCTATCACTGCAGTATAATAAGACAGTGACCAGGATAGTGCCTCTAGTTCTACAATGCTGCACTCCTCTACACTTTTAAAGACAAATATTTGGGATTAACAAACACGTTTGACATTTATCAAAGTTCAGCATAGACTTACTGCATCTTTTGAACATGAACCATATGAACAAGGCCACCATTACAATGGAGATCAACACGCTCAGACGGATGATGAAACTCTTCAGGTGAATGGAAACACTGGAACATAAATTACAAGCACACAATGCAAATCATAAAAAGATCAGTCTTCATTGAACAGTACTATGATATCATCTAAAATTTATTCATCATCTAAAAACATATTATACTTTTTACTAATTAATCTAGGAAGTTATATCTGATGTCAATAAAAATGCATGTATAGAGATTCCATTACAAATGTTGGATTGATTTGTCCATAAATTAGCTATCGTACTGTATGTGAATGTAAAGCCTACTGACCTGTGGTTCCCACTCTGAACTGTGGTAGGTTCCCCATATGCAGAAACAGCAGTGTGATTCACAGGTTCAGCTGTGGGTGAAAATGTAGGTAAACGTAATTTCATTGTAAGAGTGAACATGTGAAACAACACAATGATCACCAGAATCATATCACAATAATGAATACTAATATCACTTCTATATTAAATGCAAACCTTTACTAATGGCTGCATATGGCAGATAGTTACAGCTGAACATTTTATAATAGTAGAATGGTCCTTACTAGTGCTGGGTCTCTCTTTAACAGTCACATGCACTGGCATCTGTAGGAGTCCTTTGGTACAGAAATACCAGCCGCTGCTCTCTGTCCTCAGTCCACTCATAGTCACAGTGAAAACTTTGGAAACATTTGCATTAATGGTCACTCTTGTTCCATCTATTGATCCAGACGGTTCCTTCACACAGGACCCTCCCAGTCTGCACCACTCAATCTCTCCAGTGTTACTATAGGAACCATGGATGGTTACATCTTCTCCATTAAATCCTGTAATCTCCTGATGATCCACAAAGAGTTGGGGCCAACCTTGAGGAAGAACAAATAGCATTATATCGTAAACAAAACTCTCCATGCATGATGGTCAGGTAGTGGTAGGTCACACAACCATTTAGTAAAAAATTGTAATCAACCACCGTATGCTGGAGTGCCTTTACTGTGATTTATTTAAGAATGAACAACCCGTTTGCTTGCAGCTTGCTCAGGTTCGCTCAGCAAAATTACATGAGCACAGGTGTGCCAAATAGGCCATCACAGTCTTTTCTTTTTCTTTTTTTAAAGTGTTTTATATATATTACAAATGTTTTATATATATTACAAATGTGACAGCATAGCAAAAACATGACATACAAAAATACATATTGCAAAAGATGTAAGATAAATTTAATAATCACCACATTACGAAGAACAAGAAGAAAACTAATGTAAATGTCCTATAGGTCCTACTACTGTCTCTCTACACCACTAAATAGGAAGGCCAGGGGACCTAGTTTCTCATCTCTCCTTAAGGGTCCAAATTACCTGCACAGAGAAATATAAGATAACATTAATGTCACAAAAAACAGCTCAAAACCTGTGCTTAATGGAGTCAATATAGTTCAATTGTGTTCAGTTCATAAATCCAAACTGCCTCCCTTCTTAAGAGCTGGTTAATCAAATTGCCCCCATATATCAAATACATACAGTATATACATTCTTACCTCTGGTGACTGACAGCTGAAAAGGCTTCCCGTCACTATTCAGGTCATTTATCTCCACAATACACCAGTAATCAGTGTCGTCCATCATCAGATTATTAATAGTCACAGTGAAAATTCTTTGTTGTTTGTCATCAGAGATTGAAAACTTTCCTGAACTGTCTGGTTGATCAGTTTTAACTTTGCAGGAGCAGGACCCCACATTAGATCCTTTACACAAGTATTTGACATGGTGTGTGTACTTTGGGTCATAGAGACATGGGATAGAGATGGAGCCTCCAGCCTTCACTGACACTTTACTGACTGTAGTTACGCTGTGAATTCCTGCAACTAGAAACATGAAACCATTTTACTGTAAATATTATATGATATTAAGTTATTACTCAACAAACATGCAAACAAAATGGCATTTAAAGTAATTACAGTCGCATCATCTTCTGACGAAACCAGCACACACATAAGGACAGAAATGATCAAATGAGCCCTGTGACTGACCTGTGAGTCCAGTGAAGATGAGAAGAACACTGAGACGAAGAGCCATGTTGATGAGCAGAGTAAGACACAACAACAAGGACCAACTCACTGTGAGAATGATTCTAAACTTCCTCATTGAACTAAAATAAAGAATGGCAGTGGTTAACCTCTGTGTTCCTTCTTCATTAAGTTAGCTGAGACACACTGTTTGAATGAGGAAGCAAATATCTATGAAGCTAGAACATGCTTTGTAGGTGCCACATAATTAATAGTTAATTAATTTAATTATTTATTTTGTTGTGAAAAATGCCACAGTGTACTTTTTAAGGACACAGTATTTGATTTTTACAGATTTTTGCTCTTAAAACACGACTGTCTCTGATTTTATTCTACAAACTGGATACACACTTTCAAAATAAAAGACCAGCACTCCAAGATCTGAAGCTGCAGAATCAGAAACATCTTTTAAATAACTTTAATACTTTTGTATTGATTCTAGCTCTCTGTTTTATTAAAAACTAGTGTATCTGTCAATTATTGTTGTTGTTTTTATCTTATATTGGTTTTCAGTATTTATTTTTGTATTGTTTAATTTTCAGATTTTTGTAAAGCACAAACAAAAACAACAAAGGAATGAGCGCAGTTTTAACTTGTGACACACATGCATCCCTGTCTCCTTTCCTGAACACACTCTCAGATCAGGGGACTCTTCCTGTCTCTGTCTATGCATTCATGCTTTCCACAGTGACAGTGACACCTGCTGGCCATTTGCTGATACAGCAGACCAGAATACATCCATGAGTGAACAAATCATTGCAAATCATGAAAAAATACATAATACATTAAATGAAAAGATGTAGGCTATACTGTGTTTGTTAAGAATATGATCAAAATAAAATTATTATATACTATAATGTCTCTCACTCAGACGTGTGCATCAGTAAAATGTCATGGAAACAGAATGATGAGGTCCTCTAAGGTCTGCGATTCTAATTTCTCACTCTGTATTTGGACACAAGTTGACCTGCTGCAAAAGGTAAGAAACTAACTCTATAAAAAGCTAACTCTATCAAAGCTAACTCTCTGAAAACTAACTTTGAGGGAATCTCCTGGATCTTCTCTAAATAGACCTTGTTGAAAAACAAACTTGTGGATTGCTAAAATATTGTGGAAAAGTGAACAGCTGGAAAATGGCCTTCAGGGGACCCCCACCATCAGAGAACAGCTGCTGACTGGAGTCACCCCTGAGTTGGATAATGAGAGAATTTTTCTGATGATTTTATTAATTTATCAACATATAATCCCTAAACAACAATTCCTCAGTATGAATATGAATGTCACTTTTTGGACCGACGTTAACACCATTTCAGAAGGTGTGCTGAAAATGAACAATTTCTCCTGTAAACTGATTATTTGATGCATAGAATGCATTGAATATCCTGGACATTTTGAAAATACTCTGGTTTTGGGTAGAGGGATTCAAATTGTCCAAATTTTCCATAAAAATTATTGGAAAAAAGGCCCATGGGCCAAAATTGAAATAAGTGTCTCTTGTTCACCATGGCAACGAAGGCGAGGACGTCATGACGCACAGGTGTAAACAAACCTAAGCTGTCTTGTTTTGATTGTTGCAGCATCAAATCGTTTTAGTTAGTAGGCCTTTTTATTTTCACAGTTAAATGATCTTTGTTCAGTGCCTCTGAAAAAGTCTGGATGTGTACAACTTTGCCTTTTTTACTCAATAAATATTGGACCACGGCTGCGACTCCCCTTGAAAATAGAATTTACAAAAATGTACTCTCATTTTAAATGTCATCATACATTGCAATAATACCTGTGATCACAAAGCAGGTGTGTGAAGGTGTGTGTGTAGGTGTGTAGGTGTGTGTGTGTGTAGGCGTGTGTGTGCGTGTGTGTGTTGAGGTGTGTGATCGTATTAAGTTAAATGAACAAGACGAACAACGGAAAAAAGTGAATTCTTAATAACTGCTGGAGGGATTGCCAAGACATTAGGTGCAGACATTCATGGTTCCCAAACAATACAGACTTTTCTTTTAGTGCAGTAGTTTTTTAACTGGAGGTGAAAGCTCTAATCAATATTTCTCATGAAAAAATGAATTCCAGCCTTGGTACAGCTAAAAACAAAAAAAATTGCTGATATTTCTGGATTTTAAGTGAATACAAAAGCATCTATAATACTGCTCAGTGCAAATGAAAAGAATCCAGTTTGTGAGGTAATTAAAGTTAATGTTGTATAACAGAAACATTTGGGAGTACACATTTTGCCAAGGCTAGAAAAGGTTTGATGGTATTATGAACCTTTAATGGTGGAAATTAATGAGTCAATCAATAGATGGCTGTCACTACCAATATCTATAATTGATAATCTAATAGCTTCATATACTACCCAAACTACTTATTTCAAAACATTCCTTTACAACCACCTCCAGATTTGTTCTCAACAACATTTGATTTTGCCAGAGCACCAGTCAATGTGGGGATTATGTTTCTTAAGTCACGGAAAACCCAAAATCAGTGGATGCTGCGCTCAATCAAATAAATGAAGTTGCATAACTTCTGTGTGCTTGTGATTTAATGTTACCTGTATGGGTTCGATGCAATGAGTAACTTTAAACAATAATCGACCATCCAAAGCACTGGCATTAACAGGATGTGACAGAGGAACAGTCTTAATCTGGTTCTGTTGGGCTAGAGTCCAGTTCATGAAACTATCGTTTGCCCCAGAGTCAATTAAAGCCCCCTGAGTTAGAGTCTGATCATTTATGGGGAGTTTACCTGGGTCAGTGATCGAGGAGGAGGAATATTGGTGGACCCAAATGCACGACTCTGGCACAGACAAAGTTGCAGGAAAAAATGATATTTATTTTACAAACGGCGCTCTATAGGAGGATATGAAAAAAAGTCAAACTTCAATTGACACATAAAATAACCTGGACTCTTAACTACAACACTTGACGATACTCACTCTTGAAGACAAACTGACAAAGACAAAGGGAGACAATGACTATTTATACCATGTGTAAGTGAGAACAGGTGAAAGCAATCAGGGGCGGGCAGACAATTACAAAGGCGGGAAAATCACACAAAGGGAGGAAGTCAGGGTTTGAATAGTGAGGGAAAAGGTGAGTACAAAACAAAACAGGAAAGACTAAACAACAAACAAACTAAAACATGACTGAACTTAACAAACTTGACGAGACACAACATTGAATTCCTGCAACAAGAAACATGAAACCATTTTACTGTAAATATGATATGATATTAAGTTATTACTCAACCAACTGATATTTAAAGAATCAATCTGATTGATTTGATTAAAATTCTGACAATATCATTTTCTTTATTATAGTCCCATCATCTTCTGCCATAACCAGCGTGCATAATGAAACATAAAATGATCAAATGAGCCCTGTGACTGACCTGTGAGTCCAGTGAAGATGAGAAGAACACTGAGATGAAGAGCCATGTTGATGAGCAGAGTAAGACACAACAACAAGGACCAACTCACTGTGAGAATGATTCTAGACTTCCTCATTGAACCAATTTCAGTTTCATTCACTGGCTTCATATCTATGAAGCTTGAATGGGTTAACTTTTATTTCTTAAAACCTTAGACAAAGTGTTTGGTAAATGCATTCTGCTCTTAAGAGCAGATGGTCGGACAACTTCAATACTTCATCAGATTGTCTGTATGTGAGTCAAATTATGTGCAGTGTGTGTGTAAAATCAGAGGCTGCAGATGCACAAAGCTGCAGGATGAGGGATAGAGGTACTGACTGATAATAAAGGACTTATTCTACACACAGCTGAATGACACTAATGGAAACAATGTGAATTATTAGTAGTAGTAGCAGTAATAAAATATTTAACACTTGTATACTACATTTTTTTTAATATACTTTAATTTAAGCTCAAAAATTAAAAGTATAATCATCATAGCTTTTGCAAACTTAAATTATATTTCTAATCCACTAATGTATTCTACATTTTGACCTGGGACATGCTACTCAACACTGTTTGCTCAAGATCTGAGCTTTTTCTTTTCTGAGGCAAAAACACTGACAGTGGGAAAGAGTTTAACACATTATGATACACATTTATTAATCACATTGGAATAAACAGCAAGTCACACTGTCTGTTATCACCTACATCACTTTGTGGCGATGAATCATTATCAGGCCATATATGTACAAAATAAATATGTTCACATGTATGAGAGAGAAGTCAGTCTCTGCGTCATTGTGCTGATAAAGATTTTGGAGTGACAAGATGTCCTGATTCCTTCTGCTCTCTAATGCTGCACCTTCATGTCTCAGAATCAGAAAATGAGGCCCAGATAGACAGTGGAGTGTCAGTGATTATTGTTGTGCACCTTTGTCTATGGTTCTGTCCTTCTCTCTTTACTGTTATGAATTGGCACTATACAAATAAAACTGAATTTAATTGAATGTAATTGAATTCATAACACTGATATCCATTTACTGCAGAGCCAGTGTGCTGTATGTAACATCCTCATCTGCTGCTTCAACCTGTTGGAGAACAGAAGCAAAATGAAAAAGCAAGAATAAAGATTAAAACTGACCTGAAAGCTGTATTATTATAACTTTTTGATCACAGAGATGCTGAATCAAATACAGATACTGGTTAGAATGATACTGCATATGAGGGTGTTTGTAATATTACAGAAGTTACATCAATCTGTAATGGTGCATTGCTGTTCTGCAGAGGGACAGAACAGTATATTTAAATATGATACATTTTAAAACCTGATATCACCGTGGTTACCTTGACAAGAGCTTTTCTCTTAAACTCCACAGCACTGTATGATACTTCCTCTTCAACCTGTGAAAAAGGAGCAAACCACATGTCAGAGGAGTGAAATGAATTGTTTACAGAATCAAACTATTCATTCTATCACGATCATGCATTTTCCTGTGCTACATCGTTGCAGCGGGCTTGCTTGTGTAATTAAGTAAGGTCCAATGAGAGCTTTACCAGATTTCATTATATTAACAGACAACGCCACCTTAGGACTTTCACCTACAGAATATACAGTAAGAGTGGCAGTACTGTACCACCTACTGTAAATTTCTACCATTTAGTGTTAAAAACAGTCAGATCGCAGGAAAGCAATGGAAAACGAGAGACAAAAGTACAAAAATTACAACAGAATCGAAAATGAGGCAGAAATGCAATGAAAGGGCGAACATGAAGAGAACACTACAGGAGATTCAAGACTTCCAAAAAGAGCCAGCTGGGGGATATTAAAGATGAACTCAACCAAACAAACCAGCGAATCTTGGAAGCAGAAGAACACACTGATATGTATACAAACAATATATTGATGTGAAACGAATGCTGAAGGAATGGACCCCAGACCCCCTACCCAGCCAGATTAAGAGTCTTCTACAAGGATGGGACGCAGGCGATTCCAGAGGATCCAGTCGAGAGAATGAATCACCAGACATGGCATACGGCACAATTAATGAAAGACATAGGTTTAATAGATAAATGGAGAGAAATGAACCCTAATGTAAGGAAATACACACATTACTCTACCCCTCATTCAGCATATACTAGACTCGATTACTTCATTATCTTTAGTAAAGATGGACCAAGGCTTATGGACTCAACTGACTTCAGTGACCATGCCCCTATATATTACCATCGATCTGGAGAACTGCCAGAGAAATACAACATGGAGGTTTAATTCAAGCTTTCTTAATGACTCCTCAATGAGCAATGAAATTCAAATGTGTACAAAAGAAAATGATTATGGAGAAATATCGACACCTATGGTATGGTGTTTTGGGTTTTACATTCATACATATACAGCTCTCCTTCCACTCACACAGACATTGCAGACATACTGATTTGCTGACAGACAAAAAACAGTTTATTATTATTTTGCATGTACTTAATTAAATTGAGTTAACTATTCGCAGACTGTGTGGTCTCCCTCTTTTGTCACACACTTTTGAGCCAGGCTGTCACAAAATGGGGGCTCGTTTTCCTTTGTTTGGTAAGTTTTCTAATGTTCAGTAGAACCTTATTTGTAATTTGCTGGTATTCTTTTGTCATCTCTATTCTCCCACTTATCTGCTTAGGTTAAGGTTTGGGGCTACCTGCAGAAGATGGTAAAGAGTGAATTTGTTCCAGATTTAGTTTTGTATGATCCAAGTTGGTAGTCTGGGTATTAGAGCTGCTAACAATCAGTTTTGGGAGGCTGTATAGTCTAGAGTTTTGGTTACTAGTTGAGATTGAGCGTAGTTTGTCTGTGTATCAGAGGTTTGGTTAAGGTCCCTATAGTAAAGCAACAAAGCCAAGGCCTTTTAGAGTTAGAGCTTTAGTGCTGTCTTGTGTAGGGCTGGAGACAGTTTTTGGACATTTTGAGCCATTGTGACAGAGGTGATTGTTTGGAGTGCACATGTGGAAACTGGAGCTTTCTCTAGTAGGATGAAGGAATGTTTCTCCTTTGGGATTAGTTCCTAAAATCATTGTAGTGTTGCAGTGAAAATGGTTAGAGCAGTTGTCTCGGGGGCACATTCTAGACTCGAGCGGGTCGCTGTTGTGCAGTGGCCGTCCTCGCTCTGGTGGTTTGTAGTGCATAAATAATAAATACACACTGTAAGTTACTGCATGAAGACCAGGTTTGAGATTAGTATGTTTTTGGGTAGGGAGTTAGTGGGAAAACTCTAATTGTATGGCATCGCATTGATCAAAACTATACTTTTATGGCTACTTTTGCTAGTTTTGTTCAGTCTCCATCTGAGGAGCTTTTGAAAAAAAGCAACTTTTGAAGCTAGTTGAGCATTATGATGTTGAGAGAAAAACAGTTAAAGGGGGAAATTAAAGGGTCGTTGAGGGCTGCTTTAATGGAAAATGGAGTTCTGCCGGTTACTTTGCAGTGTCTGTGAGTCTGTGGTTTCTTCTCCAGGTTTAACTTTTGAGCAGCAAAAAGAGTTGTTTCTTTTGTAAATGGAGAGGGATAAAATAGGCATAGAAAAGGAACGACTATGGCAGTCTTTGGAAAAGGAAAAACTAGAGTTACAGCACTTCAGGTTAAAGCTAATTAGGGAATGTAAGATGTCAGGTTACACTGACACTCAGGGTCCATATGACTCTGGGTCATCTGTATCTCAATGTTTGAAAATGTTTGATGTGGTGGGTAACTTGCGTTTTTTGCCAAAATTTGATGAAAGATCCAGACACTTTTTTTTCTCCCTTTTTGAACGTTTCACTAATGCTAGCAGTTGGCCTGATGCTGACCGTGTAGTGATGTTGCAATCGGTACTGACAGGCAAAGCCCAAGAAGTTTATTCAGTGCTCAGTGCAGCTGACAGCCAAGTATATTCTACTGTATGTTCTCAGAGGCAATTTTAAAGACTTATGAGTTGGTACCAGAGGCCTATGGGCTGTTCAGATGTCGAGTTTGCAAGGGACTTAACTAAACATTTCAACAGGTGGTGTTCAGCAACGGAGGTCACTACTTTTAAAGATCTGGGTGATCTGATGGTGCTAGAGCAGTTTAAAGATTGTATTCCATCTGAGGTTGTCACTCATATTGCTGAGCGTGGTGTAGAAAGTGCCTCTGAAGCTGCTATTCTGGCAGATGAATATGTGTTGGCACATAAAAGAAAATTTGGAACAAATTATGTTTCAGATAATGCTAAAGCTAATGGTCATTCTGCTAAATGTTCTTGGTCATCCTGTTGTTCAAATAGTGGTACCAACTAAGTATCGAAATCAAGTGTTGAAGTGTTCTCATGAACAGACAGGGCATTTGGGGGTTAGGAAAACATATGGTCACGTGTTGCATTTTTTCTTTTGGCCTCAGCTTAAAGCGTGATGTGGCAGCTTACATTAAGACGTGCCATACATACTGTCAAGTAACATGCTTTGTTTGAATGACTGGCAGATGGAAATTTAACAGTAAACTTAGCAAAATGTGAGTTTGCAAAAGCTACTGTGACATATCTTGGTAAGGTTGTAGGTCAGGGTCATGTGAGGCCTGTTTCTGCCAAAGTTTCCACCACTGATGAGTTTCCTGTACACACTACTAAGAAGGAACAAATGAGGTTTTTCATAGAAAGCAAGCAGGATAAGATCCGAACAGTATTCGAATCATTTTACAAACTACTATACTCTAGAGTGCAAGAACACTAAGAAGAACGAATTGATTCTTTTTTTGGAGGCCCTAGAACTGCCAGTTAGGACTGGAAGATCAAAATAAGGCTCTAAGTACAGAAATAACTGCAGCTTACAATGGTACAAAACAACTAATAAGTCATGCCTGCTAGCCACATGCAACTGGGCTCTGAAGAAAGCAGAACACACTAACGATAATGGTAATTCTCAGTGTTGGAGGAAGTGTCGCTGTTAAGCAGCTAACCACTATCATGTTTTCTGAGAATGTCAGATGACGAATGATGGGCCTACCATACATAATTGGATAGGTGTTGAATGGGTTGGATTTATCCAACCCATGAGACCCAATTTGGTTAAGCTATTGAACTGAAGGAACATCCACTATCTATGTATTTA